GTAAAGTTTATTTTTTTAATTGAGTGAAGTTATTATAAAAATAAGTGAAATGTAATTAATAAAAATAAGATAAAGATAGTTTAGTCAAAATTATGATTCTTTGTTTTAATTTATTTCATGTTTTAATTTTTAGTTGTTTCTATTTTCAAAATTGTTTTTCTCTATTTATAGTTATGATATGCTTTATATTTTTTATAAATATATAAATTTGATAGTCTATAAACTTTGATGTGCTATGAAAAACACTATGAAATCTGTTTGAGCATATTTAACCGAGGAGTTTTTACTTTGTTGTCATAATAAAGTTTATCATGGTATTAATATTAGTTATATTTTTCAATAAAATAGTTATGTGTTTTAAATATTCCTTGTATAATTTTATGTGTAGAATTTATTTATGAATATAGAATATATATATTCAATGTAGATCATATATATATATATATATATATATATATATATATATATATATATATATATATATATATATATATATATATATGTATATATATATATATATATATATATAATGTTTATATAGATAAATGTTGTACTACTACACACCCTACCTGTCTTTTGTACCCCACTCTTGCCAATATTGCGCCCTCTCTTTGTCTTTTCCGGTTTGATTTTTATATTTTCAAACATGGAAACAGCCTCAGTCTGCGCCTATTTGAGGATATTAAAAAAAAACAATTTACTTTATGATTAAAATTTTTCTTTTTCAACAAATTTAGAAAATTACTAAACTATTAAGCTCTTTTATTGAGTTAAATCAAAATAAATCAAACAAATTCGCTTTTGCTAAATTTGAAATTAACTGACAACAATCTAAAGTAGAATCATTTGATTTTTATCTTCAAAAATTTACAGTGATAGTTAAGTTTTTTTAATTTAAAACTTTTTTTATAGTTGATTGCATACAGCAGTTTATAAATAAGCTAATTAAAATTAACACATTTAACTGTATAGAAAAATACAAAAAAAATATCGTAAAAATATCCATAAACAATCAATAACAACTAGCTTTACAACTTAAATAATTAAAATATCATGCATAAAAAAAAATGTTAAAAAAGAAAAAAATAACTTCATAAATATCGTAAAAAAGAAAAATAACATTGCAAATAGCGTAAGAAGAACAAATAAATTCATAAATTCGTAAAAATGACATGATTAGGAATAATAATACTTAAATTTAAACTTAAAATTTTTTTTTTTCAAAAACATTTTCCCTATTCCAATTTAAAATATTATAGTTGATGCATAATATAAACCATTTTTTTTTTAAAACAAGAGTTGCTTTACCCACTGCACAATAAACGGTGCCAAAGCCGTGGAGCCGCTTTTTTTTTGGTGGCGGCGGAACTGGAGCCATGGCCGCAAAAATCGAGCGGCTCTGGGCTCTAGTGTTTTTTTAAAGGAATAGAATGCATGGTTTTTTTAAAGTAGAAAAATATTATTCGTTTTAGCGGTCGTTATATATCCTTATTTTATTTTTTTGACTATTTTAATTAGCTTTATTAACAGTTACAGTCGCGCCAAAACGTAATACAAATGTATATCCCAGTGGGCACAAGAACGTTTTGCGAACGTTTTTTAATGGTACCGTAAAAAAAAATCTTTACTGTTTTAAAACTAGTTTTGAAAAGATTTTTTTTTTTTTTAGATAACTGCAGCTTCTAAAATAGTTTTTGGTTTTGAGAGACAAAATGGATTTATCGTAGCGAAGGCAGAAAACGCTTTAACAACAAAAAATAAAATTTTAATATTTTATATATTTTTAGTAACTTTAATAGAATATTATGGAAATAAAGAATTTAATTTTAAAAAAATTAAGATTTAATTTTGATAATGTTGATAATTTTTTTTAAGTGTTTCTTTAATGTACGTTTAATGTACGTACCTAAAGGATACAAAATCTTAAGATCTAACTTTTTTAATGAAAGTTGAAAAGTGCGGAATGCCTTAATAGACTTTCGTGTCTTTTAAAATACTTTTATTATTTACATTTTTTTCTATTTGAAATATTTTTAAATATTGCTTTCGTACATGTGTAATTTTATTTTAATTTCTAACCATGTTGACCTAGATTTTTTTCAGAGAAAAAAATTTTCATTTTAAACTATATTTATTATAATTAACCACCTGAAATAAAAAATAATTTAAATAATTGTAAAAAACTAAAATACAAAATGACTGCAATACTTCAATATTTCAAAATACAAAAAAACAAAGTATAAAAATTTGAAATATAATATAAAAAATAGCATAAAAAAAAGAAGATGCAATTCACAATCATTATATATAAATATAAATACAAACACACACACAAAACCTTTAGTCAATATATATTTTAAAATCCATGGTAACTGCATTCGCCACTTTTTTGATTACAAAAAATTGACTATCAGCGTTAAATGAAAAATTTAAATCATGCTCGATGCCATTTTCTGAAAAAATACATCTGGTAGGTGCTGGCGCTCCTAAAACAATGATGCGTTCAATACTGACATGCGATTTGAAAGTTTCACTTCCTTCAATTTTTTTCCTAAAATCATAAAAACAATCTGATAGTTATTTTAGAAAGTAATGATAATATAAAACAGAGTAAGATAAGTAAGAGGGGGTAAACTAAAATGGAGTAGAAATAGGTCAATTGAGTAATGCGGGTCTAAACGATCTTTATTTTTCTAAAAAAAACATTGATGAAAAACGAAATCTCTATTCATTTTCAATGCTTAAGCCAGCTTATTATTATACTTTAAATATCGACTTATAAAACCGATTATTAAGATATATACTACCGTCCATAATTATTCGACCGATTATTAAGATATATATAATACCGTCCATAATTATTCGACCGATTATTAAGATATATGCACTACCGTCCATAATTATTCGACCGATTATTAAGATGTACACTACCGTCCATAATTATTCGAACATCATCAACATTTACACAAAAAATGTAATTTAATAATTTTTTATTTTTGCGTTATTAAATTTTTTTTTTTTTTAGTTAGTCTCACATTGGTAGTTTAATAATTTATATTAATTCTTGATATTTTTACATGATAAATGGCCTGAAAACGAGGGTCGACTGTTAAAAAAACAATGCAGTACTCACATTGTGGCAAGAAGAATATCCTATTGGTTAAATAGCAAAAAAATTCAGGATTTCGAATTCAACAGTATGGAGTATTATAAAAAAGACGAAAGAAGCTGGAAGTTTGGTCAATCATTTGTAATAACTACATTTAATAGTAAACAAATGCATTACTAACTGCTTCGGAGTCAATCTATATTTTGAATTGTTCTCGAGGAGCTCCGGTATCTGTGACAACTGTGAAGAGACGGTTGATTGAAATAGGGCTTGATGGCAGAATAGCAAGGACACCTTCCTTCACCCCAAAAAAAATAGTTAAAAAACAACAACAGTAGTGAGCAAAACTTCAGGAAAAATGGACTGTCGATGACTGGAAACATATTCTTTGGATCAAAGAGAAAGGAAGTTTCAAATTTTTAGTTCCAAGAGAAGATCGTTTATTCAAAAAAAAGTTGGTAAATGGATAATAAAACAATGTGCGTTGCTAACTGCGAAACATGGTAGGGGTAATGTTTTGGTTTGGGGCTGTTTTGGTTAGAATTCCTTAAGTCTAAATAGAAGGAATAATCATGAAAGAAACGTAATTAGACATTTTAAAAAGTCAAATTGTTAAGAAGCCATTCATTTTTCATGATGACAATAATCCAAAGCATTGTTCAAAACTTTGTAAGAATTACTTGAGTGAGTTAGAGAATGATAAAGTATTGAATATAATGATTTGGCCTCCCTAATCACCAAATCTCTCTCCTATTAAAGTTTTTATGGGATAAACTAAAAAGAAATGTAAAAAAACTAATGCTTAATGGTGCAACGGATATGCGGAAAAACCTTTTCCGCATATCTGTTACACCATTGGAAATCATTGTTTCCGCATATCTCATTGGAGAACTAGTTATGTAGAATGCCAAAAATATGTAAAGCTGGTATTGTTGCTAAGAGTGGTTTCATAGATAAGTTAAAATTATAAAGAATTTAATTTGATTTTTTATAATGTAAACTTAAAGAATAGTAAAATAAATTTTTAGATAATTTTTGTCTTCAGTTTTACTCCCAATAGTAAGTAAAACTTTAATAACTAAAAAAAAGTATTCCTATTTGAATAATTATGGACGATAACGTATTTCAAATCAAAAATGGAGGCTTTAAAACAAAGAACTATATGTACAATTTGTTATGTTAAGGATTTTTAAAAAAATACCAACTCTAATATATAAAAAACGATTAATGTGGAAAAAAAAATTACTAGATATTTCATGAGTCAGGAAGTTTAAAGAGTAGTTTAATGTAGATAACATAAACACAGATCTCTAACATCAAATATAATACAAACGTAGATCTCTAATATCAAATATAATACAAACATAGATCTCTAATATTACATACAATACAACTGTAGATTTATAATATCACATATAATACAAACATAGATCTCTAATATTAAATAAATACAAATGTAGATCTCTAATATTATATATAACACAAACATAGATCTCTAATATTACATATAATACAAACGCAGATCTCTAATATTACATAAATACAAATGTAGATCTCTAATATTACATAAAATACAAACGTAGATCTCTAATACTACATAAATACAAACGTAGATCTCTAATATTACATATAATACAAACATAGATCTCTAATATTACATATAATACAAACGCAGATCTCTAATATTACATAAATATAAATGTAGATCTCTAATATTACATAAAATACAAACGTAGATCTCTAATACTACATAAATACAAACGTAGATCTCTAATATTACATATAATACAAACGTAGATCTCTAATATTACATACAATACAAACGAAGATCTATAATATTACATAAATACAAACATAGATCTCTAATATTACATAAATACAAACGTAGATCTCTAATATTACATATAATACAAACGTAGATCTCTAATATTACATAAATACAAACGTAGATCTCTAATATTACATAAATACAAACGTAGACCTCTAATATTACATATAATACAAACGTAGATCTCTAATATTACATAAATACAAACATAGATCTCTAATATTACATATAATACAAACGTAGAACTCTAATATTGCAACAGTAGCTAAAATATTTTTTTTGTAACAGTTTTTTTTTAAAATCTAAATAAAAATAATATTATCAATAATATTATTAATAAATATTAATAATATTAAACTCAATAATTATGAAATATTCATTGAGTTTATAAAGTATAAATATGTCAAAACAAAAAGGTTTCTAAATTATATTAACCACACGGGCACTTTTTCTATTTTAGCCCAAAAAAGTAAAAGAAATTTTTTTTGCTATTTTTCTCTTGCATGTTTATAAACGTTTTTATCTGCCATCACTTAGGTGTTGATAATTTATCAATTTATTAGACTTTTAATTAAAATTAACTATTTTTTCTTAAGTCCTACTGTTCTTTAAAAACCTAACTAATGTGTCACCTTGTCTAATAGGGGTAAGTTAAGCAGCTTTGAGAAAAATAAATAAAATTGAACTATTGAACACAAAGAAACAACTTTGATGAGAAATAATAGAGCAGTACAATATTTATATATATTTTTAAAACTAGTAATTTTTAAATTGGGCTTTGAAGTTCAAGAGAGTTGTATAAAATTATATTTTTATATTTTATGACACTTTCTTACAATTTAATTTTTTCTTTTTTTACTTACAACATTAAAGTGTATAAAATAAAAAGTTTATAAACTATACACACGCTTACTGTTACACACGCTTACTGTTACACACGCTTACTGTTAGTAAAAGTTTTATTGATGATTCACCCAAATTTGGTACTACACATATTCATTTATTTGTTGATTTTTCAACTTACCACACACTATTGCTCAACTTACCCTGCTGAGGCAGGTTGAACAGCTCTGCAAACTTTAGGCAATATCTTTTCAAAAAAATCTTTTATTAAACAAATTTTTAGCAGGTTAAATAATCTTTCAAATATTGAAAAAATAATGTAAATCTGACTGTTCATGAGATCTGTTAGATTTAGGAAAAATTGCTTAACTAGCCCTGCTCTATCCTAACAGTAAAAAACCAGACAATATACATAACAGTAAAAAATTCAGACATTATACACAACAGCAACAAAATCAGACTTATTGTTTTTTAGTAATTTAAAAAGATTTAAGTTGACTCGAATCTTTTTAAAAAGTAAAAAATTTTACTTACGTATTTATTATATATAAGTGTTAATTTTTTTATCAATTTAACTTAAAAATTATTTATTAGTGGGCTATAAAATTATTTATTATTAAATTATAACCATATACTGGTTTCATATTTGGAAAAATTTCAAAGCAAATCATTTTATTTTAAGCTCCATAAACCAAACAATTCACTGGTTTTAAATTATACAAACAACTAATTTAATAATTTTATACTCTACCAAACAAAAAACTACCTGGTGTTAACTTTTACAAACCAACCATTTCACTGGTCCTAAATTCAAGAAACCAACTAATTTACTGGCTTTAAACTCTACCAAACCATCAACACACTTGTTTTAAATTCTACATATCAAATAGTTAATTTTTTTTTTTTTGTGTGTGGACAAAAATTATAATTTGTTTTAGATTTTTGAAAAAAAGATTTTTTTTTTTTTGGCTTTTATTTATTTTAAATAAAAGGTTAACTCTGAAGAAAACTTTGAATTCTGAAGGAAACTCTCAAACTTTTGATTGAAATAAATAATCCAATTATTTTTAAAATTGTTTCTTGGTTAAACCAATATTAAAAAAAAAATGCTGTTTGGTAAGAAAACTCTCTCCTTATGTGTTTAAATTTCAAGTGCTAGCTAACTCGTTATATGGGTATTTTTCGAAATTTTTCATTTAACTTGGGTAATTAGACTTAAACTACCCAGGTAAATTCAGGTTTTAAAAAAATTTTTAAATTTATGAAAATTTTTTCAATATTTTAAATCTATTTTTATTCGCTATCACTTAAAAAGCAAATGAATTTTCACAAAAAGAAATTTCATCATAGAAATCTATGATTTATAGCATTAATAGACATATCATGCTTGGACTGTAACTTTTACAGGTAAATACTGTTAACAAACATTTACTTACTGTTTACATAACTAGTTAACAAACAACTTGCTTTTAACTTGTTATTATTTAACAGGTAATAATTATTGAAAATGTGTAATAATATTTTACATAAAATGATTAAATTGCATTTAGTTAAAATTATAATTAACATCATATTTGTAATTAACAGAAAAGAATAAAAATAAAAAATGTGCAAATAACCAATTGCATGGTTTGGAATATTTTGTGTCCGAAAATCATTCACTGGTTTCAAAAGAATTTGGAACAAAAAGTTATATGAATTAAAACCAAGTGAATATGAAAATGTATTCAATAAAGGTGCCAATCTTTTACTTTAAGAAAAAGTTATTAAATTTGCTGCTAAGGAGCTAAAAAAAAAAGAGAAGAAAAAGAGTTCAAGAATGTAGAAATCGTTGTATGTGTTATTTGTGCAAACTGGTTATTGCAGAAATAACCCAGATGAATTAAACCTTTATTGCACTTTAAACATCATATTAATCAATGAATGAAACAGATTAGGTGGTAAATCAATAATAAGTTATAAAATGTTTCTTTGCACAATTATGGAGTACAAAACATATTAAAACAGAATGTGCAACTTCAATGCATTTTTATTAGAAAGTAAGATAAACATAAACCTCAATAAGGCATACCCTTAGTTTATATTTTCAAAACCAAAACTATATTTTTTCCTGACTTAAAAACCGTTTATGTTGAAAACCTTGTTAAATTTTAATCATTTTCAGTACACCTTTTTGCTTATGATATTAATTTTTAATATCAACATTTTACTTATCTAATTCAAACTATAAAAATTTATAATTTATTTCAGTTTTGTTTGATTTAAATTGTGACTGTTAAGTAAGACAAAATGCAGACTGATTCATGTAAAATATATTAAAACCAAATATATACAACAGTTTGAAGTATATGGAAAATTTATTAATAATTTGGAAATATAAATTATTAATAAAAATTTGCTAATGACGTTCAACATACTTACCATTTAATGTAATATTTTGATGCTTTTGAAATTTTCATACTACAAGTAAACAGCGCATATTGGTCTTGCTCGTGCTCTGTAGATCTTCCATCGTCAACATAAATCAAGCCTTGAGATAAAATCTACATGCAAGAAGAACATTCCTGATAACACAAGATAAAAACGTAAAAAAAAATTTTCTTATCATAACTCTATAAATCAACTGTTTTTGAACAATAGTGATGAGAGAAAAGAATATATATATATAAAAGAATAATAGTGTAAATTACTATGGATACATAAATTACTGTGTATACTTAGATTACTATGGATACATGCATTACTATGTATACGCAAATTACTTTGGATACATACACTACTATATATACATAAATTACAATGGATATATGCATTACTATGTATACGTAAATTACAATGGATATATACATTATTATGTATACATAAATTACTATGTATATATACATTACTATGTATACATAACTACTATGGATACATACATTACAATGTATACATATGGATACATTACTATGTTTAGGTGAATTACTATGAATACATACATTACTATAATTCTATAGTCATATCATACAAATTTATATTCAATGTAATTTATGGTTATAATTTATGGATGATGAACCACAAAATTACTTTTTTTTCTCCATAACAAGACCTTAAAACTCAATATGAACATAGAAATAATAATGTAAAAATATAAAGCAAAAAAAATTTAAAAACATTAAGGATCACCTTTGAGTTAACTGATCCAATACAAACAACTAAAGTTAGTGGATCATTTTCCATTTTTGCTGAACAACTTCTTATTCGCTCTTTAATTGGAACAACTGACCCACCGCGCAAAAAAACAGGAATCTATTAAAACAAAAATCTATTAAAACAACTAAAGTGAATTATGGTAAACTGAAAACTAAATTGCAAATATCTAGCCTTATTGTAAAGTTTAATATGTCATACTTTTTGAAATTTATTTCCAAAATAAACAAATAACAAAAGATAAAATATTCTATAAAATACTTGCATTTGATAACTTGTCATACAATAAAAGATATAAAGATTATTAAGAATAATACAAGACGAACTACAAAAGTACGAACCATATGTAAATATTTTTGTTATAAAGAGAGATTTATCTTGCTCAAAATTCAAAAACTAGCGATTTGCAGGATAAGAAAAGACTTGTTTTACAACTTTAAAAAGGTCTGAACATCATCAAATGACACACCAAGTCTTTGATTTGAAGAGCTCAATGCAGTAATAGAAAACATTTTTTATGTGAAACCAACAGAAATTGTAAATAATGTTATCATTTCAAACATTGTTATCATTTAGTATTCATGTTGTTAACCATTGGAATACACTCAATGATGCAATAATAAACTGTTTAATGATGGACCAGTTTAAACAAATGCAAAACATTTCAATAGATAGTCGCCTATAGTCATTTTACGACTTTAATAGTATCTGCATCCAATTTTATGATTTTAATAGGCTTTGTATCCTATTTGAAAACTTAAATACTATTATTACAATTATTATAATAACTTTAGATTTTAAGACTATTAAAAATAGTGGCAGAATATCACAGTAATTGGTAACAGATTGAGGTACAAGTAACAAAAAATTAAAAAATTTAAACCAAAACTTTTATTTTAAAAATTTAAACTGAAAAATCTAAATTAAAATCCTTAACCAGTTAACCAATCAGACTGAAAGTTTAATCATAATTTTTAGACATAGCTAGTTTGGCCATAGCTAGTTTTACACCAATTTTTATCAAATTACATAGAGTAGTTCTCATTTTACAGGTATCTTTTTTGAAATACTATGAAGTCAAAATTTTATTCAATTTAAACAATCAAATTAAATTTTTTTCTGCAGACGATTAAAGATTTCAAAATTTGCATCAAAGGGTAACTTAATGTGCACACTATCTTTCCTTATAAGTGGCGTCTTGGGATTCGCTAGATTGACATTATCATGATCCATGATAACCATGACCACATTATTTTATTTAATTTGATTATCATCTACTTTGCAAATTTTTTGATTTGATGAAGTTTCTTTTTTTTTTTGGGAAAAAAAATTTTAACAGTTGGCTTGACTTTTTATTTAGTAATCCCACAGACAATCCCATCACAATAAATTTTGATAAATAAATTGATTAAAAAGAAAACTGATTAGTCTCACCTTATTAAAATATTGTCTCACCTTATTAAGTGGTGTAGATACATAAACAAACAACTTGCTATTTGAAATTTCTTTGAAAGTATCTATATCATACCAATTCTAAATATAAAATTTTATTTAGTAGTATTAAAAAGCCTCAAAATAATGAAATATAAATAATAATAATAAAAATAATAATAAAATAATGAAATATAAATAATAATAATAAAAATAACAATAAATAAAAAGTAATGATATTAAAAACTAGATAGCAAACTATTATATTTAAACTAGCAAAGTATTATATTTAAAACTTCAGGTATAATTTAACCCTTTCAGTACCAGTAACCCGCTATAAGGGTTATGATATTTTTTAGTAAATGTGACTATGCTAAAAACAGCATTTAATCACATAACTAAGGCCTAAAAAACTTTAAAAAAAAAATAGTTTAGGGGCTGTTTTTCTGACCAACAAAACAAGGTCTCATTAGTGAAATTCGGAAAAAAAAAATTTATAGCTTTTAAATCCATGATAACATTTCACTTACAATCATTTTACTGTATTTTGTCTGGTAATGAAAGGGTTATGAGATAATATATAAAAAATAATAATAAACTAAACAACGTTATCAAAGTAAAAAATCTAAATGTTTTTAAATTAAGGAGTTTTTTTTTTATCCTTAATTTGAAACTAACGTTAATTAATTTTGTTATAAAACATTTTAATATTATATTGTCAAAATATATATGATTTAATAAAAATACTGTTTGTGAAGGTAAAATTATCTTTGAAACAGCTTGTCCACATTTAGTAACTGGCTTTACAAGAAGATCATGACCTAAAACAAGTTAATATTAGCTTTACAAAAGAAGAAGAATAAAAAAAGATATAAATTATATAAAATAGGTCACACCTTCCCCTCAAAGTGAGCCATAAAGACCGTCAGGTTCAAAATCTTACCACCTCAAACTTTTTTTAAGTAATTTAAAGTTTGTATTAGTGTTTTTCAAATGCAAACCAAATCTAAAGTCGATCAGAAGAGTTAGTAATTTAAGTTTAAAAAAAATTTAAAAGGACCAAAAATGTAGTATTAAAAACGAAGTAATCCGCCATTTTTGGCTTCTTTTTTTAAAATAATTTTTAATTGATAAGAAAAATTGTTAGACATTTCTCCTTGCAAGAGGTTTAAAAACAAATATTAAATTACTTGATAAGTAAATTAAAAGTTGTCAAATATTCATGTATAAACTTTAATAAAAAAAAATCTTTTTAAAGCTTTAGAAGTTTAAATTATTTAAGAGTTAATTCTATTTTTTAGGAGTTCATAACAATTGTTGTTCTAGTCAAGCTGGTTTGAACCTAATTAACTTGTCAGAAAGCCTTGATCCCACATCATGCAGACAAGTTGATTCAGGCATAATTAAAACAAGATAGAGCGTGAAGGCATTAAGAGAGGCCAGTCCTTTAAAATATCTACAGGGATTTTCATTATAAAATTGTTAAAAAAAGATTTAAACATTCATAGTCTATATAACATATTCTAAATTACATAACTTATATTTAAACATTTACTTGAATTGCTAACTTTTTAATAAAAAAATTTAGCAATTCAAATAAATGTTTAAAAATATATTTAATTTAATTATACTTTATTTTTAAGGTGGGAATCCATTTTTAAAGGTATGAATCCATTTTTAAGATTGGAATCCAAACTTGAACTGTTAGAACTAAAGACAATAAACCTTCTAGAAAGTCTTTTATATCACACCAAACAGTTATGGAATTAACTTCTATACTGTAATTAACAAAAAATCAAACAAAAAAAATGATATCAAGTCTGTGTAATCAAGTCTGTAAAATCTAGCGTCGCCTTCTGTCATTGAGAAAAATGTAGTTAGCATGATGACATAATTACAACAAGAAATTGAATCTAAATATAAAATAGAACAAGGTGATTTTATTTGGAATGATGAAACTCTAACAAGAAATATAGCATTTATTCATGACACTTCTGAATTTATTCTTAATTATCTAATAGAAAGAGACAGATCCTCTTTACAGTATGTACGTGAATCCATTTATGGAAGTGAAAGATTTCTTAAAGTAATTGTCTTTGACAGGCCTAATAAAAACGAGATACACATTGACAGCGGAGCTAAAAAGTGTTTTATTTTTGCTATTGTTGAAATTATTTCTGAAGACCATGGAAATCTGCAGAAAATCATGAGTAGACTTAATCTTAATGGTGTTACCTATCACCTTGCATTTGATTTAAAATGTGCTAACAGCATTTTTGGCTTATCTTCTCATTCTGGTAAATATGGCTGCTTGTGGTGTGAAGGTGAATTTTGTTGAAAATGGGGCAAAGTAACTGCAGATGAAAGATTTTGTAAGTTTTTTTGCATTTATTATTTTTTTCCTTGTTATTTTTATTTCGTATTATTGCTATAAGGGGCTCTGCTGTATTAGAAGTTTAAATCACTTTAAATCACTTTAAGTTACATTTAGTACATACATCGACCTAAAGCTACCCCCCCCCCCCCAAAAAAAAAAAAAGATTTTAATATATTTTCTTCTTTTTTTGAAAAGCTCTTTGAATTTCAGCATTTTTTAACATAATCATCTTTAAATCTCCACTCTGCATCATACAAGTTATAGTAGATTATATTATAATGCTTAATAGGATAATAAAGAATATTGATTTAAAAATAAAATAATGAAATTAGTTATATCTTTTCAGGGGGTAACTATCACAATAAGGGTAATTCGGGTTAAAAAATTAATTTTTTTTGGTACTGATTTACTTTAGATTTGTCCAATACAAAAAAATACCATACTTAAGCAGCATTTATCTTTAAATGAAAAAAATTGATAGTGGGGAGAAGTTGAACCTGGCGGTCTTTATGACACACAGTGCCCTACCCTGATTTTTAGAATATTTTCAACTTTAAAACTTCATAAATCCGAAACCATAACCGATTTTTTAAATTTGGGTTTTAGGGTGAAACTACCCTACTCAATTATTAATTAATTTCTATTAATCATATTTGAGTAAATACTTTTTGAATATTATTGTTAAATTTTGGTAAGTTTAAGTGCATTTTTATACTTCATAGATCATTCAGGTTATATTTTGAAAATCAGGAAAAATTTTTGGGTAAATTCTCTGCAAAAAAATTTGAAATACTTTTTCCCTTATTTTCCTCTTAAATTTGATTTTAGCTGAGCTGCATCCAAGTTTTTTTCAAACTTTACCTAAACATTAAAAACCTGTCAATTCCACTCAACTTTCAAAAAAGGTCACCCTGCAATTCAAATTACATTTCATCATTTATTTAATCTTTTTACTGCAACTACTAATACGTGTGGTGCCCTGCAAATTATTTAAAACTTGTATTAGAAGTGTTTAGAACTTTAGAATATTTTGGAAAATAACAGAATATTTTAGAAAACTTTAGAACATTCTAAAACAATTTAAAACATTCTGGAACAATTTAGAACATTCTAGAACAATTTAAAACATTTTTGGAAAATTCTAGAACAATTTAGAACATTCTGGAATATTCTAGAACATTTTAGACTATATATAGCTGCTTATCTAAATTTATAGTAATTACAGAAGCAACACATGGGATCGTACAAGCCTAGCGATTGTAGCATTCAGAAAAACAAGGATGTCTGGACCAATAATCTGATAAAATTTGAAGACTCATAAAAGAAGAAGAATAGTCCCTTTGGAAGAATATTCACTAGAAGAAAAGTGTAAAATGCCTCTCCAAAAGCTAATTATCGAACACTACCAATTCCTTAGACCAAAAATCAAAGGAAGAAAGGAGCGAGTAGCGGAAATTTCCAAAGAAACCACCAAATTGTGGAAAAATAAACTGAATTTTCCTCATGTATCTGATCAAGTTATACAAGCAAAGCTTGATAAAATACTGAAATGTTATGATAAATGAGTCATGTGGGGAAGCTACGAACCCCTTGATGAAATTTTTGATATTACTAAAGTCGATGAAAGATGGTTATCTTCTGAGGACAAGCGATTGTACCATCTCCAAGTGGAAAGCAAACGAACAGTAGGGTACTCTACAGGCCAAGCTGCCAGTAAAGAAACAATCCATCCCTCTAAAAGACAAAAACTTTTGAATGAGTCATCAACTCATCATCTTACTATCCTGGTTTTAAGGATTCTGACTGAGGCTGACGACAGTGAATATGAAAACAATGAAGAAGAAGATGAGACAACTCCTACACCAAGCAGAAAACATCATAAAAGCAAAATTGCAGTTAACTTGGTGACCTCCACAAGAGTATCAACAAACAAAGCTCGTGAAGACATTAAAATCCCAACTCCATGTCAATCAGCTATTTACAAGTCAACAATCAAAGAGGCAATTAAGCTAAAGGAAGACATTATTGAAAAGCTGTATATGGAAAGTTGGTTCTAACACATTGATGGCAAGCACATCGACAGAATGAATTATCAAGTGGTTGTCCTTAAAAATGAAAGAAGAGCAAGGTTTTAACTATTGCTAAAGGAATTTCTAAAGTCCTTGATGAATTTCACCTATGGAATTTAAAATAGATGATTGTTGCAGATACCATCAGCATTAACACTGGAAAAAAGAATAGTGTTGTTTTAATATTGCAACAAATGTTTACAGGGAAACGCATCAAAAACCTCAGTTTATCAGTTGTCAACACCATGTATTAGAATCCTCAGTTTGGTGGTGGATGAAAAACTTGGAAGTAAAACACAATTGCCAAACATCAAATATCCATTTGTTGAAGAAGTACAAACAACTGAAAACACAATTTGATAACGGAACAGAAGTAATTCTCAAAACATCAGGCTGGAGAGATAATATGAAATTTTTGTACTAGCAATCCTTCAACAAAGACAGTTCTGCAGAGATTTATATTGTATGGTTCGACAGACCATTGGTTTACAGACCAACTGTACAACAAAAACGACTTTAATAACTTGGCTGAAATACTGAATCCATACAAAAGGGCTTTAAGCTCTTTGAAAAATCACTCAAAGCAAGAGCCATTCATACTTATTCATACCCAGAAGTAATCAATGTGCAGAGAGCGCGCAATCAAAGTAATGGAGGAAATTTATTCATCATGCAAAAATAAAGACAAATTGCACCTTCGATTCCTTCTGAGCAACAAGCAAGAGCAAGGTCAACGGTCTGAGTCATTGTTGGATTGACAATTTATTGTATTACATGACTATGACATTCTAAATACATTTGAATGCATAGTAGTACTTTTGTCAAAATTGATTTTTCAATTGCAGGGAGAACTTTTTTGAAAAGATATGCAAATAATAGTTCATTTAGGGCTTTTTAGGTAAAAGTTCATCAGAATGTTTTATGCATTGCATTTTTCAAATATTTAATATATGTTGATTTTTATTTCTACATATATATATATTTTTTTTTGATTAGTTTAAAAGCATTTAACTAATAATATAAATTATCATTTTTTACTCTCGCATGAAACAATGTATTATTTTGATTTTTTTGTACTAAATTTGATTTTTATGTACTAAATTTTTTTTGTTTATAAAGAACTTTTTTAATTAAAAAAAGATTTAAAACTCACCAAAAAGATACTGATCTTCAACTCTAAATAGACTAGAATCAGGAAAATCCATCCATAATGGCCTAATTATTATACATTATAAAAATAAAATAATTTAAAAAACTAAAATATCTGGATACTACATAAAAACAAAATAAGTTTAAAAAATAAAAAAATATCTGAATTACAAACGGTACAAAAAAAATTTAATTAAATTTTTTACCTCATTAATGCTGTACCATTTTTATGACACATCCACATTTGAGTGTAAATGTACGGTAGAATTGCATAACGCTTCAGTATAGCTGCTCTAATCAAATGAACTGTCTTTTTATCAAAAAGCCATGGTTCCCGACGCTTTGTTCCACGATTAGCATGGCCTCGAAAAAAAGGTTGGAATGCAGCAGCCTAGTAATAATTTATGTTAAATTATGCTATCTTTTATTCTTTTTTTTCTTCCAAAAAATAGAAATTTTACATTTTACATAATTTTAAATTTTACACAAGTTTACTTGATACCAGCGAATAAGTAATTCTGGGTCAGGATCACCAACAAAACCACCAACATCAGCTGAAAAACATTAAATAATCTAACATTAATACAAGCTAGGATTGTTTAGACTATTTTGAAAATTAAAAATTTTAAAAAAATATATATTCTTTTCTAAATTACAAAGATTTTAAAAAAAAAAAAAAAATTAGTTAAACAAGTTTTATAAAAAGAAGAATTAATAAACCTCCAACAAAACACATCCCAGCTATATTCAATGACAATAACATTGGTATTGATGCTTTAAGATCTAACCATGTCGATTGATTATCACCAGTCCAAATAGGACCTGAAAAAAATAATGTTTGTACAAAAAATAAAAAAAAGAACATTACATTACTATTAAAACAGGTTTTTTTACAAACCATATCTTTGGGAGCCTGCAAAAAAAGATCTTGATAACACAAATGGTCGTAATTTGCCATCACTTCGCTTTAATAGCCCATCATAAGATGATTTATGAAACATCATTCCATATAGGTTGTGAACCTCTCTATGCTCAATATCATTAAAATGTATTGCATCACGGTGTATTGAGTTTTCGGGTCCATCAAAAACAGCTGGTTCATTCATGTCGTTCCATGTCATTAAATCTAACGTTGAACCCTACAAATAAAACAGATAGAGACAAAAAAAAAATTATTACTTTGCCAACTTATAATTTCAATTGTAGATATAACACTAAAAAAATGAGTTGGCTCGTAGATATCGGTTTTGCTTTTTTTTTCCTACTGGCTCAAATTTTTTTTACAATTGAAAATTTACTCAAACTAATATTAAGTAAAATTTCAAAAACTAAGAAATAAACATGAACCAAAGCTGTTTGCTTTATAGTATTATTAATTGCCAAAATGTTGAGAATACAAAACAGGATATAAGTGATATTTATATACAACAAACATGGTTATGAATGTGAAGATTAAGTGCTGTTCAAACTGGTTAAAAAAGTGCTGCACAAATTGTGGTTAAAAAAGTGCTGTGCAAACCGTGGTTAAAAAAGAATGCAATTAATTTAGAAACTTTTGAACATCCTTTTTAAGAATTGAAGAAACTATTTCCACAATTAAAAATTTGCAATCACATCATTTTATTTCAAAGACACAGACTTCATTTCTTCATAATTTGAAAGAAAAGTATTTTGCTAGACTTTGTAGTAATTTACAGTTTTATAGTACAAGATGCAGTATGAGGATTTCATTGAGGTAATACCCAAAAAACACTAACCCTTTCGTTATTTACTACAAAAAATCAGAAAATAAACTCAAACCTACAAACTATTACCTATCTGGCTGTATGCAACACACTGCAAATAACCAGCGAAATACATTTTTATTACAAATTTGAGAAGATTTAAAAACTATCCTTTTAAATTTAAATTTATGTTATTACTTTAGTGATGAAACCTACACAAAATTTATAAAACTCATAGCAATGCTTTTCATTATTTTTATGACCATGGAATTCATGCAGAGTGACATTACTTTAAAACAAGACATGAAAAAAAGTTTGTGATAGCAATGATGGTAAATAGCATTGTTCCAGATGAGATTTCTGGGCAGATATTCAAGCTGGATAGGACTACTATCTGGTATTTAGCCAGATAATAAAATAATCCGGCTGGTTATATGGGTATATCATGTTTATTAATAATGTTTTGACAATTGCTGTCTTAAAGATACACAGTTTAGATATCTGATTAAATCATTTGGTAATTGACAGAAAGAGAATAAATATCTCTAAGGTATAAAATTAAAAACTCTCCCATAAAAAAGTGCTATTTTTTATATAATCTGTTAGTTCTTTCAATAAAGCATTGTTTAAATTAAACTAATAATCAAGTGCACAAAACAAATACTATATTATATTTATCAATCATAAATTTATTTGTCTGATGATGAATAAACAATAACATTTTTTCCAGATTGGAGTAACAGCCTTGATTTTTTTTTTACAGCTTCTAGTCTGGACAGCATTTTCTTAAAAAATTTTCTAAATAAATTTTTCTTAACAAAAGTGCTTTCCAAGCAATACTCGCTTTTACCTTTAATACTCTCAAAACTATTTAACGAGTTATATTTATAAGTTATATTATTTTGCTACTGCATCATTAGTTGGTGCAATAACATTTAGGATTTTAAAAAAAATCCCTAAGTCTGCCAAAAAAAATCCCTAAGTCTGCTTTTAACAAATGTTTAGTTGTTTCTGTATTTTCCTACTTAACTGACTCCTTCAAATCCACAACATAACATTCAATTGTATTTGAATCTATTGCGAGCATAAGAGTTGTTATGTTTACATAACATAAAATAGTGCAAAATAATCTCCCCATTCGTCTGCTAAGATTGGAAATTTATGCTTTTCATTTAACTTTTTCAAAAAATTTTTGTTGTCAAAAAAAGCTGTTGATACAGTTTGAAATAGTTGTTGGACTTTTTGGCATTTTATATCCTTTTTGTTGTACATAACCAGTAATAGCTTGAGATTAGCTAATTCCTGTAATCGTCATACCATCAACAGTCGCACCTTTTGACAATATTTCATTTGAAGATTCATTTTTTATCAATTTACAAACAGCACTTATTTCTTTTTTTTTTTTGTTTTTTTTTTTTAGGAATATTATTTTCTCTATAATTTTTACTTGATCCTGATTTAGATATCAATGTGCTTTGTCGTAACTTCAAATGTATAATCAAAGCAGTGGTTCAACTTTTCCATCCTATGTTCGTGTTGCACTAAATGTGGCTTCACCATTTTTTTTTTCGCTTTCCTAAAAAAATTCCATACCTCAGGTTTTTTAGACATGGCTAAAACAAAAAATACTGTGGATGTAATTATAAAAGAAAATCTCACAAACTTTAATTTCCGCCTTGAAAATGTTTTTTTAATTTAAATAAATAAAAATTATGGAACAATTTTAAGTATTGATTGTGTAACATTTATATAGTAAATTAATAAATTTACGAATATTTATAAGCAACTTGAAGAACCGACCGCATTTTAAAAATCATTTAAAATAATGCCATACAAAAAAAAAACCCATACATAAATTTTTTTTTGTATTTTATATTTTTAAATATTTATATTTTGCATATTAACTTTTTAAAAATTATTCGAGTATTTATATATTATGCAGTTTAATTCTAATATTATGTTATACGCGCTGTAAAGCTTTGCAGCAAAGTATAACATAATATTAGAATTAAACTGCATAATATATAAATACTTGAATAATTAAAAAAAAGTTAATATGTAAAATATGCACCTAAATATTAGAATTAATATGAGTGAGTTAGTATTAAAAATAATTTAAAAGTATAAAATACATGTATGACTGCCAAGGTCTTAGGATTCAGCCAATCAAAAGTACCACGGTATGTTCTAGAATGTTTTAGAACAATGTCTAGAATTGCATAGTATGTTATTTAACAAACAATAACAAAACAAAACTACCTCTGAACTCAAAGCCAGTTGTTTACGAGCTTTAATACTCATGCGGAAGTATATATATTGGTGAGACCAAAAAGAAAATCACTTCAAGAAGTACGGAACACCAAAGAGCCTGTAAAAATCAAAAATGGTCGAGTTCAAAAGATGGGATAATGTGAAAACAAAAACTTGGGGACCAATTTTGACAAAAATTTAACCGACGCCACTTTTATATAATTTGATTGGTTTTTATATTTTATGCTTTTTAATGTCTTCTTTTTTAAACGATTGGTTTTTTATTATTTTGTAACGTTTTTTCATTACCTGATGACACTGACCACAATAGGTCAGCAATATATCGTTAACATATTATTATATCATATAATATATTTAAAATATATTTAAAAAATAGTTATACATATTATAATATGTATCTGAAACTTTCAGCAAGGTTTTACATAGTGGATGGCTTTATAAGGTTCCAGAACATTCTGGAACATTCTAAAAAATAATATAAATACTATTTTGGAAGTTACAGCTAATATAACAGTTCTTCAGAAAATTATTTTGTGTTAACACTTTCTTTTAATGAATCAATACAGTTTTAAGTAAGCTATGTTCTGTCAATTAGAGGCATAAAATGCATTAACTTTAGCTGCATTGAGGGGGACGACCATAAAAATTATAACACCTATATATAAGGGCACTTTCACTTTTTGTTTGTAAATGCTTTGAATAAATATTTAAAAATAGACAATACTGGTAAAGAACCAGATGAAAAAAAGAAAAAAGATCTAGAAGAAAATAATAGAAAAGATTCAGAAGAAAAGATGATAAAGATCCAGAAGAAAATAATGAAAAAGATGAAAAAAAAAATAATGAAAAAAAACAACAACAAAAATTAAAAAGAAAATTACAAACCTTGTAAGAGTCGAGCATAAACTTTTCAGCCCACCATTCTCTAGCTTTTGGATTAAAAAAATCTATCCAAGAAGAAACACCTGGCCAACATTCACCAATATAATCATCACCATTTTTATTTTTGATGTAAAACTTATTTATACTGCATTCGTTATGCAAAGAATAAGTTATGTCTCTTGAAATATGTGGGTCAATTATTGTAACCATTTTTCTACCCTTTTCTGAAAGCTTACTGATCATATCTATTGGATTTGGGAAAGAATTTGGGCACCAAGTCATATACTTTTTTTCATCTGTGTGTTCAATATCTAGCCATAAACAATCATATGGAATATTATGCTTATCAAAACCCAAATCTACATTTGCAACATCAACTTCATCATCATAGTTCCATCGACATTGGTGATAGCCTAATGCGAACAGCTAGAAAAAAATATTAGACAAAAGTTTTGATTATTATTTTCATTTTATTTTATTTTTATTTTGTTTATTGACCAGGTTTTTAAAAAAATTAAAGTACATAATAAACAAAAAATAACAAATTTTACTGGTGGTAACATTGTGAATCCTGTCAGGCTAGCATACTGATTAGCTACTTCATCAATACTTGGACCTAGTAACACAAACATATCTATAACACCAGATTCTGAAACCCAATGAGTCTTCACATTAGGACTTAAACTATTTTGATTTTTTGCCATTTTTTGCTCAGCATTAAATTCAACATCAATCCATGTTTCAGAGGAATTATTCCAAAAAATTCCAGCACACTGAACTGTACCAGCTGATATCATGTAAGGTATAGAACCATACAAAGCCATCGGATTGTCAAGACTGTATGCAAAAACATCAGAGTTGTATAAACGGTAAGGATCTCGATGTCTGATAAAAATGTGTACACATGTTATATAATTTTTTTGTTTTTTAATTATTTATACATAAATATCATTATTGGATCATCAATATTAATTTAAATTTTACAAAAGTAAAATTTTCGAAAACTAATTTTTGAAAGTAAAAATTGAAGTTAATTTTTTTTTATAAAATTAAAAATTAAAAAAAAAAACAAATTAGGGATCCTCAAAAAATTACACAACGCTAAATTTTACTCATAAACAAAATCAAAAAAATTAAAAGTTTTTCCTTGCAGAACCTAAAGTTAAATAAAATATGAAAATAAATAATTAAGTTTAATGAAAGTCGCTGCAAAAAAAAGAGTTTAAGATCTCCTACTTTTGCTTTTTAAATATATTTAGTGCTGTGTAATTTATAGGCAATCCCTTATTGATTCTTTTTTTTGTTGTCTATATATAGAATCTTATAAATAATATAATACAAAATGGTAGCAGTATCAGAGCAGTTGATAGAGTGACATATATCCAAAATATGTTAGACCATAGCAAAATATATTAGGCAATAGAAAAAAATATAAAAATTTAATGCTGTGTTGGTTAGTACATCCTCAGTAGTAACACACTTTACTTGTTTCTCTGTGCAACGACCTTGTTTTACAACATTCATGTTTTGGAGTTAAAGAGTTGAGAAAGGGTTGTAACGACAATAAAGTAGCCTCTGCATTTGTAGTGGCCCTCCCAGCTTTGGAAAGACAATAAATATTAAAAAAAAAAAAAATTAGACAATAGCAAAATAGTGTATTATTTATATTTATATTGTATTATTTATATTTATTTTATATTACTTTTTTGAGTATTATTATTCTTTTGTCAACCTATTTGTTTTAACATTGATTGATATAGAAGCCAGTACATCAATCAATATTAGACAATTGATTATAGCTAATACAATATATACTTTCTTTTATCTTTTTGAACTAAAATATAAAAAAATACTAATGGTATGCAATACTCAATATATGTAATGTAAAACACATTAAAGCCAACTATAGATTATGACACAGAAGGTATGACACATAAAAGTATTCTTTTAAATGATAAGTCACATCAAAGCTCTAGATTACAATAAAATGCATCTTATAGCATTTTTTTTTAATTTAAGGTTTTTGAATTAACTTTTAAATAGTTATTATTATTAAGTTATTATGTTAACAACTAAATAAGTTATTAGGCTAACAGTTATGCAAGTTATCAAGTAACAATTAGAAAAGTTACAAAGCTGAGAGGCAAGTTATCAAGTTATTATTTATTACAACCCTCTCTTAATTCTATACCTTTATAACACATACTTGATGATAAACAAGGTTTCTGCACATGAAACTAGTAAGTACGACACAAAAAACGTTTTTTTTTTAAACTAAAAGATAATTTAATTATAACTATTACATTAAAAATTAATTAACAAAGATTAATAGAATCATATATTAATTTATATATTTAAAAAAAATTATATTATCATACATTTACAAATGGTCTTAATAAAACCCACTAATGATCCCATAACTAAAATGAAATAAAGCAAAGGAACCACTATAATAACATTGCAACTACATTGTAAACCTTATTATTCTGTTGAATTTAACATAAATTATAAAAAAATTCTTAAAAAAAACAACCTTGTATCTTTAAGATGAAAACTATCTGCATGCTCAGGAATACCATAGACATGTTCTGACATCATAAATGTTACATCTAAACCAACTGAACAATTACCTAAAATGTTCAATATATATAAATATATATATATAATTTTACATTTAAACCAACTGAACAATTTTCTGAAATAATATCAAAAAATGATCCCATAAAAAAAAGTAAAAAGACAGTAGCGGATTGAGGTTTAGCATCTTAGGGGGGCCAAGGGATGGAGAAGGAGGCAATAGGGGTTTGGGGGTAGCACATTAACATATAAATATTAATGCATACACATCTTTGAAAGTAGAGCGTGAGAAGGTTTCAAGTGGGAAAAGGGTACCATATACGTTTTTCCACAAACATTTTTAACACACAAAAAAAATCTAAAATTAAAAAATTATAAATTGAAATCAGTTCATTTATAATTTTTTGTTTTTCTATTTAAAAAAAAAAGTTGTTTACATTACCAAAAGTCATTGTAGTTTTATAAGCACCTGTCACTGTTTTGATACACCGAACTACATTGAAAATGCATTGACTGTGTATATTATGATTATAAGAGTTATTTTCTTAAAACAAAATGTCTTCATTCTGTTTTCTGCCATAAATGCGGGCAAATTTGTTAAGTAGCTATGTAAATGAAGGTTTATTGTTACCTAGTTTATCTCCGTTTAAAATAAAGATAGAATTTTATAATGAGAAACTTATATTTTAGGGGGCGCCAATTTACTGACTTTGGAAGTGCTTGGGAGGGGGGCAGCTTACCCTCCTCCTCCCCATGCCTTATACTAAATCTGTCACTGGAAAAAGAATATTAATAACACAAACAAAACTACATTTAAAAAATTACCATTTGACATTTTATCTTGGAACTTTTTGTTCTTTGCATCATTGTCATTAATTGTTTCCTTTCAACAACAAGAAAAATAAAGACACTTAGTTATTTAATTATTTAATTTTTTATTAATTAATTAGTTATTTAACTATTTAATTGTTGAAGAAATGATTATTATCACTTAAAGTCTCATAATATATACAGTATTACAAACATTAAAAATAAAAGCCTACAATAAAATCTTCTTTCTCAATTAAAACATATCCTTCATCGCGCAAATAAAACGGCAGATTATCACTAAAAACCAATAACATAAGTAAAAAATTTCATTTTAAATTAGTAAATAGCTAAAACATAGTTCTTAACTTTTTTATTTTAACAACTAAAATAAATAAGTCTTAGTATTACCCCGCATATACAAAAAATGATATTTTTTTGTATTATAAAATTAATTTGTAAAAATAGTCAAATTTTTGCATTTCGATAAAAAACTGAAATTTTTGAATGTTAATAATGTAAAATTTAATTAATTAAATAAATAAACTTAGTAAATTAATTAAAAATATTATAAAATAATACATTTTTTATGTCAAAATTGTCCATTTGTTCAAAGAATTATATTAAATACAGAGGTGTGGAGTCATAAAAAAAAAGTAACGACTCCGACTCCAGTTGTTGAAATTTTTGAGTACCACTCCAACTCCGACTCCAACTCCAAAGCAAAATTTTTGAAAAATTCTTTGAATTCTTTAAAAAATATTGCTCGATAAGTTTTTTTTTTGACAAATTTATGCAACGTTCTTTGAAGTTTAGTATGAACATAAGGTTAACTGAATGTTTTGTACATACACGTGCAATACCAAGAAATATTACTATCTGAGTCGGAGTCGCGATATTTTTTAGCGACTCCGACTCTGCTAAAATTGTCGCAACTCCGACTCCACAGCCCTGATTAATTATAAAAAAAATCTGCAAAACATGTTGATTATTTTATATACTTATCTTAACTAAAAGTTAACAACTCTGGATAACCATTTGATAAAAAAAAAATTTTAAATCAAAACTTTCACTATCATTATCAAAATCAGTCAACTCTTGTCACTATTATTATCAATTTTAACAAATAATATATTTATTATCATTATCATTTTAAAATAGGTTAAGCCTTTTAGACAAACATACTAAAGAACTTTATTTATATTAGATATTTAAATTGATGTTAATATTAAAGTTCATATTTATATTGGGTATTTAAGTTGATGTTTATATTAAAGTTAATACTTATATTGAATTAATGTTAACAATAAAGTTAATATTTATATTGGATATTTGAACTGTTAATATTAAAGTTGATAAATTTTAAAATCTAAAAAATTTTCTTACTATGGCTTTCCACTTTGAAACTGAAGTAAACCTCTCTCATTAATAACCAATATGGGTATATTGTTTAAAGAAAAAAATCGAATCACTAATGGAGAAAAATTAACATTTACATAATATTTCTCTGCATCAATACAGAAATCAACATTATTAATTTCGTGAGAATCGATTTCATTGCTAAATACTCCACTATGATGGATCTTTGAGCATTTTTTTACACTAAAAACACATAAAAAGTAAAAAATCAAAATGATAAGTTTACATTTTTATATTATATATTTATAATTATATATAATATTAAAAAACTTGAAAAAAATTTACAGGTAAAATATATTAAGGTCAAGTATAAAATATTTTAATTCCATTTCATATTTTAGTTTCGTTGTACAAAATATTTTAGTTTTGTTTTATAAAGTATTTTAGTTTCATTGTATAAAATATTTTAGTTTTGTTGTATAAAATATTTTAGTTTCGTTGTATAAAATATTTTAGTTTCATTGTATAAAACATTTTAGTTTCAATGTATAAAATATTTTAGTTTCATTGTATAAAATATTTTAGTTTTGTTGTATAAAATATTTTAGTTTCGTTGTATAAAATATTTGAGTTTCATTGTATAAAATATTTTAGTTTCGATGTATAAAATATTTTAGTTTTGTTGTATAAAATATCTTAGTTCCATTCCATTCAAAATGACATTTATTAAATATGGACTTCAACATACTCGATTTCAAATATATTTTATAAAACAATTTAAAAGCTTTTGAATTTAATAAATCATTTAAAATTATTACATTTTCTTTAGCTTTTGTTACTAATTTTTTTTTTTTTTTTTTTTTAATTGTTAGCAAAAATTTATTTTATTGCTAAAGTTTTGTATGTAGTTATACTGTTTTATTTATCACTTATTACTTTAAAATTTTTAAAACATAAAAAAACACCAATGTAACAGGGCTCAGTGATAAGATAAGTTTGTTTTCTTCTTGCTAAGACCAGGATTTTCTATTATTGTAATATCTTTGTTGTAATTTTTAACAAATGGCATAATGAAAAAGAAAAAAAAAATGTCATATCTCCTAAATTTTATAAAAGTAAAACAATATCTATTTATTTTTCAAAAGTGTTCAATAAATCAAAATGTGAGAAAACAACAAATGCTTTAAAAACAAGTTATGATTTGAAAACGATTGTTTCAAAAACAATTAAATCATTATTAATAAAAGAAACTAAAAAAAATAAAATTGCTTATATTATATATATTTAACTGTGTCCAGAGGTAAATTCCAATAACTAAGTTGAGGGGTAGTTTCCCAGTTCAATCCCCACCATACCAGGGGTATGGTGGGGATTGAACTGGGAACTTCTTGCTTATAAAGCAAGCACTCTAATGCAGTACTATTATATTGGTTATATTAGTAGGTTCCAGGCTTTTTAGAAAGAACTTCACGTTTTTTGCACTATAAAAAATATCTAAAGGTCTTTTTGAATTCAAATTAATTTTAAAAATTATGTCTCAAAACATGCAGCAAAATAGTAACATAAAAAAAAAATTAAGCTAATTTTAATATTTACATTAAAATTTATTAAATAATTAAAATAGTTCCTAAAAAATTTTTAACCTATGAGCAATGAATGATCCTATATATACTGGGTATGTAGATCGTATAATGTATAAATAATTTAAAGATTTTCAACAAACAAAAACATATGTACCAAGATGATAATATTGGATCTTTCATAAGGGATTCCTTCACTAAGTATCTATTTGTAGACTTGGATTCCTTTATAAGTATACGTGCAATGTTGTTTTCAATAAAATTAATTTGAAGCTCAAAAATATCACAAGTTAAGGAGTTAAGAACTTTGCATACAAAACAACCTGCAGATAAATTAATTGAATTCCATAATACATTATACAAAGGTAAACTATGGTTTGATATCCTATGAGCTCTAAATATAAAAAAAAATAACTAAAAATTTATATTTTTATTTATACAGTAATTATTTTATTGAAAAAATTATAACAAATATAAAAGAAAAACTTGTTAATTAAATAAATGATTTAAACAATTAAAAGTAATAATTTGAAAAGAACAAAACAATTAGACTAATTTGTTTTGAATTACTAGAACTTTTTTTGACAGTTAATTATAAAACTATTCATGACAACATTTTTTCAACATTTTAATTAAACAACTGAATATATTATATTTTACTAACCTGTAATAAACAGAATCTTCCCAAAACTTAAACTGTGGATATCTATAATTAAAAAAAAAAACAACTAAAAATCTAAATCGAACATTTGCCTAAAATTAAAATACAAAGCAAAAACTAAACGAAATATATATATATATATGTATATATATATGTATATATATATATATATATATATATATATATATATATATATATATATATATATATATATATATATATATATATATATATATATATATATATCCTTATAGTGTAGTCGAAAGAGACTTTTATGGTAAAAAAAAGTCTCTTTCGACTACAATTTTTTTGCCTTGTCTCTTAAGCTGCATTTTATTGTCGTCGAAATGTCAAAGCAATTAAATTAATGTGGAAGTACATTAAACTTTATTGTTTTTTAAAAAAACCACAATAATAATGACTAGAAAGTTTTTTTTAATTAGTGGTGTTTTTGTTTTTGTTTTATTAAAAAACATTTTTAAAACATGCGTAAGTGTTGTTATATCGACTATCTTATAGCCTGCTGCTACAAAGGAGTGTTGCTACATCGACTATCTTATAGCCTGACTCGCAACAGAGTGCTGCTACATCGACTGACAAATAGTCTGACTCGCAAGGGAGTGCTGCTACATCGACTGAAGGTTTGGTTTGGGCAGGCAGTCTATCATTTTTAAAAAAAAATTTTTTTTTGAAGTTTTTAACATTTTCTGGTTAGGCTTATTAACGCGCTCTTTAAAACATCAGTTTATGGGAAAACCTTTGTGACTACCATGTAAGACTATATATATATATATATATATATATATATATATACATACATACATACATACATACATACATACATACATACATACATACATACATACATACATACATACATACATACATACATACATACATACATACATACATATATATATATATATATATATATATATATATATATATATATATATATATATATATATATATTATATATATATATATATATATATATATATATATATATATATATGGATCATTTTCCAAAAAAGTACTATATACTGTCCCCACTAATTTTTTTTTCAAGTTAATACTATTTATACTTTAAACCAATGCAAATAAAAAATATACAGCTAATACAATATTAAACTGGTGAAAACCAATACAAAATAGCATTTTCAGTGAATAAATAATGTTCCACAGACTGTGACAAGTCACATCTGTGGAATGTCACCACCCAGACTTTTTGCTAATCCCAAGAAGTTTAAACCTTGTTGCTAGTACTTTAATTTTATTTTAATATATAATAAATAATCAAGAATACATTAAAATTAGAGTTGACATAATATTTTCCTCAAAACATATTTTCAAAGTAACTTTTATGTAATTGAAGCTCTTGTCACCACCTTAAATGTCACATCTGTGGATAGAGTTATTAATTCCAAAAAAAAGCTGTAGGAGGCAGCAGTAGTTCTCTATGTTGCTGTTCTAGCTAAACTATCAGACGTTTTTATTAATGAGTAATAGTGGGGGGATTTTTGGTGTAGTTGTTTAGTGCTGATAAGAGTTAAAGTTTTAAAAGTTGAATTTGTTAGTTTTAGTGTGTCACATCTGTGGCAAACATACTCAGGGTAAATAATTTTACTTTTTTATAAGCAATACTTTTGTTTAATAGCAATTACTTAGGCATATTTACTCCAAGGGGAGCAGAGTCCTAGCCTCAAAACATAGCATTCATTTTAGGGTTTTTCCTTCAACTTTTCACGTCTGTGGATGTCATGTCTGTGGAGTACAGAAAGCAACAGACATGACACACATGGAACGGATGTGACAAAAAATAAAAATTTTACCTGCACCTGAATTTTTTAATGCCTATTTTTAGCAATTTTAACATTTAAAAACTTTGCTCATATAGCTAATAATTATTATTGAAAAGATAAATGTTTCTATCCAGATAGTTATAATTTTTTCTTTACTTACAGTTAACAAAAATAGGAAAGATGAAAAAAACTAGAGAATTGAAAAGGTTAAGTGTAAAAAAAAATTCATGAACTTTCAGAAAGGGATAAAAGATCAGTAAGAAAAGGTTGGAAAGAAAGGACCAAGAGAAGTTAGGATATGAAAAAGAAGAGACAGCAACTTATTGAAAGTTTGTCTACACCACCTGAAAGCCCAACTGTAAATATTCCTATTGAAAAAAAAATAGGCATAAATGAACTTCCTGGTCCCAGTCAAGAATCTAGTTCCAGAAAAAAAAGCAGGCGAAAAGTTTGTAGAAAATATAGAGATGGGCTGAAGTAAAAAATCCAAAAATTAGAAAACAATTTGCGGAAAAAGGAGTATTATCTTTTACATATCTGCGATATGTAAAATATGCGATATGCCTCAACAATCTTACTTCAAGATATCTTACCATACAACTTGAATCAGCCCTCAAATGTACTGAAAAAACAAAAACTTGAAATGGAAGTTAGGAACTTTTTAGAAAAAGATAGTTCCAATAGGCTTACAGCTGGGGAAAAAGAAACAATAACAAGAAACAAAGTGAAAAAACAAAAAAGACTATTAAATGATACAATGTTGAATTTGTGGAATGAGTTCAAACAAACAACTAAGTCAACGTCTTATAGCACATTTTGCAAATTAAGACCCTTTTGGGTTGTTCAACCAGACTTTCATAAACGAGATACTTGTCTGTATATTGATCATGAGAATTTTTCTTTGATTCTTGAAAAGTTGTATAGATGTTGGCATATAAGTATCCTACTGACTTGCTAAAAAGTATAACATGTGATGGCAAGCTGAGAGAATCATGCCTGGAAAGGAAATGTGGAGTATGCATTTTAAACAAAAAAAAAATACAGTCTTAAGATGTTGGCATATAAATATCCTACTGACTTGCTAAAAAGTATAACAAAAAATTACAATTGCAAATACTAAAAAATCACTCCACTTTGGTGGATCAAAAAACCAAGTGTCAATCCATAAAGTTATGGCATACTATTGTAGTATTTCTGAAAACAAAATAAAGGCAAAACCTTACTGTACAATTTCAGATAACAGGCGCCATGACTTTGGAATCTGTGCGCATTTAAAGCCTGTTATTAATGACTTGAAAGAAAAGCTGCCTGTCATTGAAACAGTTCATTTCCTTAGTTATAGTACTTCTCAACAGTACCAAATGTTTCATTTGGTTGGTGCTTTTTTTCAAAAAGAGTTTGGAGCTAAAACTATAAGGTGGCATTTCACGGATAAGGGGCACTGAAAAGGTGCCCTTGATGGAATAGGAGGTTGTATCAAAAGAACCACAGAGAGATTAATCGGACAAGGGAAAGATATTCCTGATATTAATTATTTGGTCAAAAAAATAAAAGAAAAGTGTCTAAGTATAACCATCTATATTATTAACAACACAGATTTCAATCTCTATGAGAAATGTGTACCGGAAAACCTAACAACTTTCAAGGGGACTTTACAAGTTCATGAGGTGGTTTGGAGTTCCACTAAAAAAGAAACATTGTATATGAGAAGGCTGACATGCATTGGATGTGACAATGATACAAAATGCAAACACTATAGTATTGGAGAAGTACTAATCCCTGTGGATTTTTTGATGAATCTTCATTCTCCTATCCTTTTAATGTATAGCTTTTAGAAACTTAAGTTTGCTTATATTGAATATTGTGTTATATTGAACATAATATTGAATATTATATTTGCTTATATTGAATATTGCAAACTTTTGCATTTCTTAAATGTTCTCTAGTTATTTAGTCAGTTAAAATGTTTGATTAACATTTAGTTTTTCATTTACTCTAGTATTTTCATTAAAGATTAAAATAAGCTGTGCATGAAATCTTTATTGTAAAATAGTTATTTAACTTGTTTCTGTTTCATTAATAATTTTTTGTGCCTCTGTTTTAAAAAATTCCTTAACATAGTTTAGCAGGTCAAGAATTCTTGAAAACAAAAAAATACCAGCTGAAGAAACAACATCCAAATGTTTGGCTCAAGAATCCCAAGGACCCGGTAAATGTGAAAAGAAATTGACAAGACTAAGTAACCACAGTGTTTACAGCGATAATGAGGAGGACAGCTTGTCTATTAAAATCAATGATTTTGTTATTGCCAAGTTTCAAACATTAAAAAAAAAAAATGTGAAATACTATGTTGGGCTAATTTAAGCCAAGGTGCAGATGAGTTTGTCATAAAGTTTTTGAGAAAATCTGGCCAGCAATTTTTTACGTTTCCAGAGAAAGATGATATCTCTGGCATTGATAAGAGTGATGTAGTGTTGAGATTGTGCCAACCAAATCTCAATAACAGGGGGCAATATCGTTTTCCACAAGACTTACCACTCAAAAACATTTGCTAATTTACTAATTAGTAATACTTAAAATTTTGTAAAAACTTGTACCATGTACTATTTTATGTCAACTATTAATAACTGTTAATTAAAGATGGTTATTATTTTTGTAAATTACCTGACAGATACTTATAGCTGTTACAGCATAAAGCGATACTATTCATAAGGTCATGTCTGTGATAAATTTGTCACGTCTGTGGATTACGTTAAAAGTATTTAATTTTATATATATATATATACTTGGAAAAAAGTTTAAGACCACCACGTATAAATGCTATACTTTGGTGCCTAAAATAAAATTGAGCGTGTATAAGTTTTTATTTGGCAACCATAGCTAGTTAACACAATTTCCCAATTATTACTCAATAATCAAAAAATAATTTCCTAATTATTTTTTGTACTGTTATCATTTTTTCATTAAATTTTCAGTTTTTCGCAAGTGGTCTTAAACTTTTTTCAAAGACTGTACATATACATATATATATGTATTTGTATATACACACACACACACACACACACACACACACACACACACACACACACACATACAGTGGGTGGCCAAATTATTAGAGACAGTACAAATGTTTGTAATCTTCAAGTTTAAATGAATTTAATAAATAAATAGGTAACTCATAGTTATTTTTGATTGTTAAAGGGTTTTATTTAGAATATAAATCAACATAATTACTTATTCATAGCTATTTATGTTTTTATAAGTTGTTTTAAAATAATCAATTAAGTAAAATCTTAATTTTTTGCGATGCCAACCTTTGCTACAATAAGAACTTTCAGGCATAAGGGCATACTTTCTATGCAGACTTATGCATTGTGTTGGAGACTGGGGTTGTGATGCTGCTCTCTAATAAGGATTTCTATCAATCGCCACTTAATAGTGATTCAGATCAGGTGAATTCAATTCATGACAAAAACCTAATTTGATGGATAAAGCAAATAACAATATCAGTAATTAAAATATACAATAAAAATTATTTAAAAACAATTAGTTTGCAAAACTCATTTGAACTTTAATATTACTGAAAAAGTAAACTGTTCCTAATAATTTGGCGCACACACACACACACACACACACACGCACACACACACTTACCTTTTCCGAAGCTCTGCTAAAGTTTTCTTAGAATGTTTTGAGCTATACTTATTATTCATGCTGGACAAAAAAAAAACAATACACTAATAAATGCATGATTCATAACTAAAAATACTTTTGTAAATTATTCTTATTTTCAAAATTATTTTTATTAAATTAATACTACTGTTTATCTTATACTTATACTGTATTTATATTATTTTTATTACTTTACTTTGTTAAATTTTTTTGATATAGTTTAATTTAACAGATAGGTGAGTTAGTAACAAGTATTGATATATCAATTAAATTTCTAATAACATATTTGAGATGGAATTTTACCTCTTTCAAAATTCAGGAAACCTATTTGCTCTTTGTGAGAATGATTTAAATTTGGCTGTTTATTCAGACCTTAGACTTGGTGGCTATTATTCAACAAATTGCAAAGACTTTATTAGTCATATTCCTGTACTGGGCATACACTTACAAATCAAAAAAATTACCAGCAAATCAGGCTTGAATCCTCTGACAAGAATATTTATGCTTTAAGTATATGTAGAGTTGCCAGATATCTTTTACATTAGAAAATATAGTGTCGAACCTATAAGAACTAAGATTTTTGCTGTGTTCTTTTTTTATAAAAGCTGGACACCTGGCACCATTAAGTAAATAGTACTCAAATTAAGAGTCTATTTGACTCTTATATATTTTTATAACTTTTATATATTTTTGCTAAGCACCACGTTACTAATCTCTTCTTTCAAAATTGTTTTTAAAAAAATTTTTAAAAACAATTTTGAAAGAAGAGATTAGTAACGTTTTAAAATTTTTATATAATATAAAATAAAACATAATATAAAATAAAACATAATATAAAATAAAACATAATATAAAAAGTTTTATTTTATATTATGTTTTATTTTATTTTATATAAAAGTTTTATTTTTTATTATATAAGAAAGTTAAATTTCTCTCTTTGTGTTCATACACAAAAAGAGAAATTTAACTTTCTTATCTTTTACAACAATCTTTTTGAAGAGGATTATGATGTCCTAACAAAGTAAACATACCTCAATGTACATATTACTTATAACATGTACATTAAAATGGAAAAATATTAGCATATTATGATGTGCACAGAAAGTTAAATACTAAGATCTAATGCATAAGGTGAACACAAAAGATCTCAATATGTAATCATCAAGAACCTATTATTTTAACTCCTCTTTGAGTAGATTCAACTACTTACTGCTTGGCTGATGACACTAATGCTATAATATTTAAACTATTTTGATGAAGTGCACAAAAATAAAAAAGCTATATTTTCTGTTCCTAAAAGGCTAAGAGCAATAAAAATTTATAAATTAACATTAAATAAAATCCCAAAAAAGAATACTCTAAATAAATCAGACTAAATGAAAATAATAAAAAAAATCTACTCAGGAAAACATTCAAAATTTTGGAAATAGTGGAAAATAAAAGGAAACCAATGAACACAAAGCTGGAAAAAAAAGTTTCAAAATCGTCTTTTTAACCAGAAGCGAATTCTAGGAATAAAATATGGGGGAAGGAAAGGAAGGGGGGCGAAAAGGGTCTTTTAAGATAAAAATCACCCAACTGAATTGTGTCAAATACCAGAACAGCCTCAAAAAACTGAAAATCGCCTTCAATTCCACCCCCCCCCCCCCCCTCCGTAGAATCATTCCTGTTTTATACGAATCATATTATACTCATTATCTTTAAAACCTTAAAATTCTTCGTTTCCGTAAACAATTTTTTTAACTTTAGTAAACATCGTCTGAAAAATCGTAAAGTTTGATATCGTGAAAAATCGTGAAGAATTTATTTATTTATTTATTTCGTCACTATATATTTTACATACATACATTTATAAATAAGATAAAAATTAAAATAATGACAGGAGCAAGTAGAAGACTGCAGTCTTATCATCAAGCCCTTTTCAATTGCGACTCTGCAATAAGTTTCGCGTGAGCTTAAAGTGACATTAAAAATTCATAAGTATAAATAAAGCAAATACATAGCCTTGTACGTAAAAAACAAAGCCTTGTACGTAAGGATCTGATAGACGGGTATAGCAAAGAAAAACTATTTGTATTGTGATATAATCATCGTTTGTGGTCATCGTTGGATGAGATGTGGATAAGTTCGTTTTAGTTATTATTAATTTGATCTCTAAAAGTAGGAGAGTATGTTGACGTCACTTAAGTTAAATGGGTGCTTTTTGACAGCTGCTTTGAAGAGATTTGATTTGATACATTTTTGGAAAGGTTCAGTTCATAAACATTTAGAGCTCCAATTTCCCTGAATAATGGTTTGGCATGAGTATATCTGTTAGCATTGCATACAATTCGACACGCTTGCTTTTGTTTTACATATATCTTTTTTAGTACTGAAGAGTATGTGCTTGCCCAAACGATATTGCAATAGTTGATATAACTGTGAATGAACGAATAATATATATTTTTTAAGCAAGTTTTATTTAGAAGGTGTTTTATTTTATGCATGATGCCGATTGACTTAGAGATTTTATTTTCGATGTCCAAAATATGATTCTTCCAACTAAGATTTTCTTGAAAAATTATTCCCAGGATTTTCATCGAATGGTCTCTTTCTATATTAATGCTATTGATCATAAACTGAAGTGGTAAATTAACAGAATTAGATGATTTGTGAAATAAAACATATTTGATTTTGAAGGTGTTTAAGGAAAGTTTATTAGCTTTAAACCACTTGTTTATGTTTTGCAGCTCGTGATTAGCTGTAGAAAATATTGTTTTTATATTTGAGTGATTAAAGAAAATATTCGTATCATCTGCAAAAAGAGTAAAATCAAGAACGTTTGAAGTTAAGTAAGTATCGTTCACATAGATTAAAAATAGTAAAGGTCCAAGAATGGAGCCTTGGGGTACACCATAACTTATTGTTTGTAACCGTGTACATGCTGTATTGTACAACACTCCTTGTTTCCTATTATTTATGTAATTTCTGAACCATTATAGATTGTTGCCTGTTACTCCATACATCTCTAGTTTGTGCAGGAGGATCTCGTGGTCAACTGTATCGAATGCTTTTGTTAAATCGATAAACAAGGCTAGAGTATATTCATTATTTTCGAAACCATTCAAAATTTTATTGAATAATTCAATTATTGCATGATATGTTGAATGACTCTTGCGAAAACCAAATTGTTTGTTATACAGAATTTTATTTGTTTCAAGATAGTTGTATAATCTATTGTACATAACACGTTCGAGAAGTTTTGAAAAACAAGAAAGTATTGATATAGGCCTATAGTTGAATGCTAAAGAGTCGTCGCCATTTTTATAAATAAGGACTACTCTTGTTATTTTTAATTTATCAGGAAAAACACCAGTTTTTAAAGATAAGTTGAATAATGTTAAAAGAGGTGATTCAATAATATCAAATACTGATTTCAAAGCATTTGCATTAATTTCATCGATTCCTGGAGTCTTGTTGGTTTTTAGTAAATTTAAAGCTGTTCGAAGTTCATCCGAGGATATTTCAAACTCATTCATAATTGAGTGCGTTTTTTTAAAAAATGACTTAAACGTTTTGTTTCCCGGAATTATTTTTTTGGCTAAATTTTTACCAACGTTTATAAAAAATTCATTAAACATATCAGCAAATTTCTCTCTGTCAAAAACTTCTGTATTCATTTTTGTTTGTAAACGCTATGGAAAAACAGCATTTATGTTTAATTTCTTTTTCCCAGTTACCCAGTGGGCACCCGACGTCAATCCGACGTCGGATTTACGTGCGATTTTCATCAGCGATGTCAAAAGACCTATTCCGACGTTGTTCCGATGTCAGTAAAATGACGTCGGGCGATGTCTTTATCTCAACATCCCCTGACGTCGTTTCGATGTATTTTGACGTTGTTCCGACATCTTGTAAAAGACGTCCAAAAAACGTCGCAGTACTGACATCGATCCAACGTCGATAAAAAGACGTCGGGCAACGTCATAATATTAACGTAATCCGATGTCTTTTGACGTCTTCCGACGTCAATCCAACGTCCTTAAAACGACGTCGGAACAACGTCGTAAGACATCGCTGATGAAAATTTAATCCAAACCCAACAATATGTGTGCAATTGCGCTCTTCAATAAATATGTGAACTAAGCGTGTTTTTTATTAATGGAAAGAAGTTTGAATAATGGTTGATAAAACATCATGAGATTTTGTATGATGCACTAGCATAGTTTTTTAACTATTAACATTTTCGAGTATACATTTTTTATAATATATAACTATTCGTTTTAATATTTATATAATATTTAAACAAAATTATTTCTTATCAAAGAAATAATTCCCAAATAGCTACAAGTATAAATTACTAAATAAACACGTCACCTAATACGTCCCTGTGGTGTAGCGGTAAGCGCGTAGGATTTAGTTTCGATAGACCGAGGTTCGATTCCTGCCTAAGGTAACGTTTTCTAGTTTTCAAAAAACACGTTGGATTTACATCGGAATGCCGACGTCGCGCGATATCAGTTTATCCGACGTCAAATAACATTTCCATTTCCAACGTAAACCCAACGTCGATCCGACGTCGAGATCCGACGTCGCTCGACGTTCGTTCGACGTTGAAATGCCCACTGGGTACTTCTTTTATTATATCCCATTTTTTTCTAGCATTATCTATTGAAATTTCGAGCAGATTGGAGTTATGTTGGAGCAGATTGGAGTAAAAGAACTGATATCGTGAAGTTAGAAAATCATAGCAGGAGTTACAACAAATACATAACCAAGTCAGTTTTACTCACGGTCTCACTGGTCACTTGTATATATATATATATATATATATATATATATATATATATATATATATATATATATATATATATATATATATATATATATATATATATATATATATATATATATATATATATATATATATATATATATATATATATATATATGTATATCCCAGCCAGCAAGTCATATTGGGACCCACATAGGACCCAAATGGGTTGCCCACATCAAGCTCAAGGAAAATTGTCGCTGGGCGTGAAGTCTTTGAGTTTTTGTGCAAAAACCTCACGCTGGGCGCACCTAAGTGGGCAGCCCATTAGGGCTGCATATCGCGACGTTAGAATTATCTTATTCTATCTCCACATTTTTTAGTTTTGAGATAAAACGATTTAAAAAACGAAAACTTCAGTAGACGGCGTATAAATTTTTTTTATAATTAATGTTTTTTTCCGCAACTTTTTTACTTATAACTTAGATTTCAATTCAGTAGAAAGACATTATTTTGAGGAACACAATACTATCATTAACTCAATTTTTTCAGAAAGTGGAGATAGAACAAGATAATTCTAACGTCGTGATATGTGGGACCCAATTTTTTATTTATTTAAATTTTTTATAATATTTTGAATAATTATTTACTTTTAAATTAGATACATATAATTTAATATGTTGTCATAAATATATGACTTCAGTCTAGCTGCAAGAAGTTATACAGGAAATCAAGTATAGGTATAGAATATAGGTACAAATATAGAAAAAGAATAGGTATAAATATAAAAAAAGGTATAAATATAAAGAAATATATATAGATAAAAAGGTAGACATAAATATAAAAAAAAGCGAAACAGCAATAAACATTAACAAATATACCACAGTATATAATAATATAATAGTAAAAGTAATAGGCAATTAAATAAAGTATATTTATATTTTAACTATCCATTGCAATTACTTTAAGAAATTCTTTTCAATATATTTTATTTTATTAACATTTTTGCTTGTGGGTTTATAAAAACTCAAATAGCGTATACACATTGGGGTTGTCCATAAATTACGTCACGCTATAAGAGGTCGGGGGGGGGGGTTGGTGGTTTTGTGACGGACTTAAGTGTTACAATGTTGTGACGAGGGGAGGGAGGGGGGAGGGTTCGAAAACGGTCAAAAATTGCGTGACGCAATTTATGGACGACCTCATTGAAAAACTTTTTTATACTTGAAAAAGAATATTTTCAGTCTTTTAAAACTGACTTTGTAAATTTTTTGTTTAAGTTCTCTTTAATGTTTAAACAAATATTTTTCAAATACAATATAAAATTCTTTTACTACCACTAATACAAAGCATTGATAGCGGAGTCCTTAAAATGATTTGACTTTAATTAAAAAGAAGATTTTTCGAAAAAGAGTTAATTTGAATTTAGTTTAAAATTTGAGAAGAGCTTTAAGACGTAATTACATTTGAGAAACGTAAGGGGGTTTTCATAAAGTAAGTGTGGTATTGTGATTTATACTCCTCCAGCTAATTGCCTAGCTGAGTACCTCATACCATTGCGCGCACATTTAACCAGTATTCTCTTTTTGAGCACCCTGGTCTTTGTACGGGTTGAGGTTGTTGGGGAAAAAGAAGATATTTTAGTGAAAGGCAGATAATAATAGAGTTAGAAAGATAGCATAGAGAAAGACAGATCGCTCATTTAAGAAACACAGAAAGTTGAAAACGCCAAGGCCGAAAAGGGCTAATATTTTTAGTGCGTTTTTTTTCGAACACGAAAACGATAACAAAGAAGATACAAAAAGTCGTGCGCATTAATTATCTTTTTATGTCGTAAAGTACGTACGCCTTTTTTAACGAAAATGACCACAAGAAAATATTTTTATAATTTAGGGACTGCATTAATTCTGGTTCTAATTCTGTAAAAAAGTGTTACATAAAAACCCATTATATAAAAATCTTGATATAGCCACTATATATATATATATATATATATATATATATATATATATATATATATATATATATATATATATATATATATATATATATATATATATATATATATATATATATATATATATATATATATATATATATATATATATATATATATATATATATAATATATATATATATATATATATATATATATATATATATATATATATATATATATATATATATATATATATATATATAATTAATGAATTAAGCAAAAAAAAAAAAAAAAGAATAACCAACAACAGCAAATAAAAAAAAAATATAAAGAAATAAAAAACACTACATTAAAATAGAAGATAATTAAAGAAAGAAATATAAAAAGAAATAAAAGTAAAACGTATTAAAAAATAAAATTGCAAATCAAAAAAAAATTAACTGCAGCATTCTTGTCAAGCAGTCAAAAAAAGTACTGATTTTGACTTTATCAAGTCTAATTATATGTGAAATATTTTTTTGTCACCCTAAAAATTACGGTTTTTACATGGATATGTTGTAAAAAATATATTTTTTAACGACGATGGAAAAAATAATCGAATAAAATGAGTTAAATAAATACTGAAGAGTTTTAACTTTCATAGAAAAAAGAATATTTATTTTTTAAGTTCTATACAAATTTGAATAGTGATGAAAATTTTCTGGAAATTTTTATCACTACCATAATGAACTTATTAAAGTTATTTTTAAAGCAATACATAAAGAAATATATCGCTGATTAAACTGTATTATTAAAATTTTAGCCTTTGTTTATTTGTCAGTCAAACATTTGTTTTGGATTTATTATATTTCATAATTTTAACAAATCGATTCAAAAAAGGAAATCTGCAGTATTAAGCGTAAGAAACTAAGATGACGAAACTCCACGAGTACGAGTGACGAAATACGTAGTTTTACTATACTACGCACATTTCTGTATAATGGAATGCTAGTTGCTTTCAATCGTATAAGACCAAGAATATCTCTCTCTCTTAGCTCTACTGCCTTAAAGTCATCTAGAAAAATGTCTAATCCGCAAGGGGAGACGCATAATTTTCCCAAAGAAGAAGAGAAGGTTTTAGAGTATTGGAAGAAAATTGATGCATTCAAAACATCTTTGAAGTTATCCGAAGGTAAACCGAGGTAAATGTATTTTAATTTGGAGTTTTTTAATTATTGTAAATTATGAGTAGTTATCAACCTAGGGTTTTTTTACTTATTACCTAAATAATTTATTTTAAATAAATTAATCAAATAAAATATTTATTAAGTCATATAAGATATGTTAAATTGTTAGTTTATAACAATGTATATATTTTGGTGTCAAATACAGTCGATCTATATAATCTATGCTATAGTATATATATAAATACTTCTTTTATTTATTTTTTCTTTTATTTATTTTTATTTATAAATACTTCTTTTATTTTTTTTATCATTATCTCTTTCTATATACTTTATAAAACATATTTATTTTCAGAATGTTGTGCATCATCATCATGTGCATCTTCTTTTCATAAATATAGGCTACCTCTCACTTGTGTCTGCTACAAACTCTTTCATAATTTGTATGTGACATATGTCACATACAGTGGGTTAAAAAACTCAAGTATAACCTTTTCTATAGAAAGCAATATTTTTAATAAAACATAAGTTTTATATACAAAAAACAAACTATAAATACATAAAAACCTAATACACAAAAAGACTATATACAAATATAAACTTATAAAAACCACTATACATTCACCTACCAATAGTTGATGTAGATACACCTATAAATGTATCTACATACACTTATTAATAAGTGTATATATAGTAGGTAAGGCAAAAAACAAACTTATTTGTTAATCACCTATCTGTTAATCTATACATTAGGGTGTTAACGTTTTGGTAACTTTTTGCTATCTCCAGTTTCCAATATAAAAAACAGATGAACTTTTGTTTGAAAGTAACTGAAAAGTCATTGGTTTTATTTAATTTTTTTAAAAAGTCACTTACTTGATAACACACTTCAAAAGTATATCAACCTGGGTATCAAAAGAACCAGAATTTCGTAGAGATTTCAGAAATAATAATGGTTTCGAATTAAAAACGAATTGCTTTAATTTTATATACAAAAAATAACAATTTTTAACTGAAAATTGAAAAGGTTATTTTTTATGACATTTTTTTTTTTTTAATTTTTCAGTAGAAAATATTATGAGTTTTGAAATCACTATAAAATTCTGGTTCTTTATAAAACTAATGATTTTTCAGTTACTTTCAAACCAAAGTCCTTTTGTTTTTTATATTGAAAACTAAAGATACCAAAAACTTACCTAAATGTTAACACCCTAATGTATAGGTTAACAGATAGGTGATTAACAAATATGTTTGTTTTTTGCCTTTTCTTTCACCATCTTTTCTGCCACTAGTAGACTGAAATTTAAATTAAGTGAAGTCTTTGCCTCCATATAAAATAGACCCATTTTGATTTAGGCACCAAACCATAAAATCACATATTGACAAGCCTATATTTTATAAAAATGATATCTAAATAAAATAATCAAAAAACAAAAATGAAAAAAAAATTAAGACAAAAACTTAATATGGAGGCCTTCACATAAAATTATTGGCACCAGATAGTGGTAAGGATGGCATCAATAAAAAGGCATTTTGCTTCATCAATAAATCATCATTTTAATCAACTCAATAAAATAATAAAAAGTGTTTCTATTTTTTTTCCTTTTCTTTAGATGTCAAGCGAGCATTATTAATGTGAACACTTTCTGTTATTGTAGTATAAAAAAATTTTATAGGAAGATGATTGTTTTTGATAACCCAATCTGATGATTGCAGTTCTGATACAATGACTAGTTTGCGAGTCATTTGCTCATAGTACTGCTATTAAGAATATCAGTAAAAATGACCAATATATTGCCTTATATACTATTTCATACATGTTGTATATAATTACAATGCTACTATATTAGCATTGGAATATTGCCTGTTAAGACAGTTATTAACAACATGTTATACATTATGATTTTGATATGTATTTCCATATTCTGAAATTTTCAAAATTGAAATCTCATTCTCCTCTATCAGAAACATATAACTTTTTAAGCAAAAAAAAAAAAAAAAATGCTACTATCTGCCATTATATTTGAGTTTTATTTCTTTATTTTTTTTCAGGTCTCTAATTTTTGTCCTTAAAAACTTTGATAATTTAATGCCTTTGTAAAATAAACTGCAGGTGTCAAAGGTTTAATAAGTTATTGAAGTTAAAGCATTTATATGGTCAGAAGATGAGACTACTAAAGAATATGCAAAAGTGTATCTGAACTACTTTGAACAGTTTGTAATGTGCTCTTAATGATGAGGAATAAAAATTAATTTAAGGCTCATTACAAAGTTTAATAAAATATTTGGAGTCTGCAAACCTTAAAAAGCTTTTTGCCCAGTTATGTAAAAATATACTAATTATGAGACTATATTGCTCTGCAACATGTTAAGTATTTTTTTAAATAACTCATCATTGTTTGTAAATATAAAAAGTATATGCCCACTTGTAGTGCCATTTGCTGTTCAATCAATATTTATTTATGAAGGTAGTGCAAAAGTAGAAGTTAAATAATTTTTAGCTTTACCATTTAAAAAAACACTTTTTTTATGGTCACATAACACTAGAAAAAAACAATAACCTGGAACTAAAAACAAAACAAAACAAAACAAAAAAAACAACGAACAAAAAAAACAACAAGCAAAAAAAACACCCTGAAAAATTTATTCATAGATTTTAGTCTATCATTGACTTTTTTAAGACAAAAAATAAGTATTTTATATCCAGATACAGATATACGAAATATAGATAAACACAAATAACTGATTGTTTCAACGTATAACAATATAATAAGTATTAAACAAATAAGTTACTTATCCATAATTCAGTCACTAACTTATTTAAAAGTATACATCAATCAATAATCTAAGTTAAATTTAATTTATTTTATTATTTATTTTATTAATTTAATTTATTAAATAATGGATAATTAACAAGTTTAAATTCATCTTATTTAATTTATGTGTAAGTAATACACTTAGTAAAATAAGGATATCCTGAACAAATATTTAGCTTTCACTATATTTCAAATAATATTTCTGATGTTTTTAATTATTAAAAATTTATTGACAATAAAGATTATAAAAAATAATATACTGTATTTATTTACTACTAGATGACAATAATTTGGTGAATAATTTTTAATTTTTTCTTATGATATAAGTTATGTTCATATTTACTATATGTGATAAGTATATAAACAAATTTTTGTGGTAACAACATAAACTATTCCACCCCCTGGTTTAAATAGGGTTAGTTTTGCTGAAAATATATACCCATCTAGAGCATCCTAGAAGTGTACTTGAGCATCCAAACTTTGGGATGAAGTTTGGCAGGTGGCAAGAAAAAAGGTTTTTTAACAGCTGCAAGTAATTTAAAAAAATGGACCGACATACCTTGGCTAAAAGCTTGAGGCTTAATCAACAACAAACAACAGTTGTAACAACAGTAGTCAATAAAAACGTTAGCAACTATAAAAAAAAACAAGCTCCGATAAAAAGTTCAACTCTTATTCTTTTTAAATAATATCTAATTGATATTAAATTCTAAACACGTTAGAATAGCACTAATGCTAATTTGACTTGAAAAAATGTGGCACAGATTTTGGCAGAGAAAAACGTTTCCGTCAAAGTCGAAATGGCCCATACCTATTCAAAAATGTTTTTATATGTATATATATATATGCATGCAAATATATGTATATATTTATATACGTGCAAATACATTGTAAGTAAATACAATCCTACAGTTAAGCAGCCTAAATTAATTTGTTCTGTTTGCACTTTTTTTTAAAATAAAAACAATCTTATAGCTTGTTGCCACAAGGGAGTTCTGCTACATCAACTAAGGGTTTGGCCTAAGGCAGCAATTTTTTTCATTTCATTATTGAAATAATGAAAGAAAAGATTGCCACCCCATGCCAAACCCTAAGTCGATGTAGTAGCACTCCCTTGCAACAATAGGATTTAAGGTAGTAAATGTATGTACTACTAAAGCCAATAAATATTCCTTTATGTTTCAAAAGTCTCCACTGACAAGAGCGCAATAAGCAAAAAAATATAATTGTTTTAGGCTGCTCTCCTTTAGAATTACCTTATATAGATATATTTTTTACAATATAATAATATACATGTAAATACAAATATGAAAGAGTTTATTGCAAACACAAGTTAGAAGTAGTCTAAATACTTAAAAAGAAGATTCACATGATCTAGTATGTAAATTTCTAACTTGTGTTAGTGTGGAAAAATGGGCATTTTTTTTATCTGGGATGCAGAGTCCAAAAAGGACTCTGTGGGTTTGAAAGCCACAAAATTATTTTTTTTTCTCCTAGTTTTTTGTATTCAGGAGATCTAAAAATGCAAAGTAACTTATTAACTACTTTTGGGTAAAAAATTATGGAAATACATATTAAAATCATAATTTATAACATGTCAGGCTTTCACAGAAGGGCGTGTAATCGCACGTCTTTATATGACCACACAAAAAATATGTTTTAGCAATTTGACCATGGCTTTTGAAATATTTTCAAAATTTAAAAATGTGCTACAAAAACTTACTTAAACTTATATAAAAAAAATTGTAAAAAGAAAAGAAATCTTAACGAAAAATAAAATTAAAAAAAAAATTAGATAAAGCAAAAACACTAAAAAAATAAATATATATATATAATGCAACTAAAACAAAACTCATCAAACTAAAATGCTTAGTCTATTTAATTTACGCATTAAAAAACCATTTCAATCTTTGTTTTAACATTTGTACATTTTTTTATTTTATTTAATGTTTCAAAAGATGAACATTTCTCATAAAAAATACATAATTATGTAAATAACAAAAAACAACAGTTTATTAATACTTATTTTAAAAATTAAGTAGAAGTATTTTGTTACTTCATTAAAAAAGATTTCGATAATATAAAAGCATTTAAGATCAAACTTATTTAATTGTAACAGCTTTTTAAAACTTTTTTTTTTCAACAATTTTTTTTTTTTTATCTTTTTAAATGTATTAACTTTAAATTATTCTTATATTAAAATTCGTTAAAGAGACTTTTATAGTCATAGAATGTCATCCTTTATAAAAAAAAAAACAATTTTTAATTTGTTAATGTTTATTATAGAAATGTTTATTGCTAAATTTTAAAGTTTATTATAGAAATGTTTATTGCTAAATGTTTATTGCTAATATAAAAACATTTGTTAAGAAGTTGTGATGTAATTAATTTGACTTTTTTCAGAATATTTTTCATTTAGCATGTTTTTAAGATGTTTTTCGAATTACCGCGGTCAAATCGTCATAGGAAAATGTAATTTGTGTGGTCATATAAAGACGTGCGATCGCACACCTTCCTGTGAAAGCCTGCATGTTGTTAATAATTAAGAAATTTATGGTAGAGAAATAATCAATTTTAAACCTGGAGTCCTTATGCATAATAGTGAAAAAGGGTCTCTGCAACTCCAGGCTAAAAACAAAAAGTTCAAATCATTAAATTTTATAAATTTTTTTCTTATTGCAGATCATAAGTCACTTAATATTTTTAGAGCTTGTGGACACATGGAAACCATGAAAAAATAGTGGCTTAAAGCATCCCTGAATTTTATATAATATATGCACTTGTTTATGTACTATGAAATTGTTTTTATTTGGTTGAATACAATTTTTTTCGATGTCTAAAAGAGTTAACTCTTTTTATTTCTTTATTTTCTAAATAAAGTTTGTTTTCTTTTCAGAGTTAATTACTATTTTTTATATAGATTTACTTTTTATGATGGACCTCCATTTGCTACTGGACTACCCCATTATGGGCATATATTGGCTGGGTCAATTAAGGTGAATAAAGTTATTAGATATTTTTATTTTAAGTTTAATTTTTAATTATTTGAAATTTGTATATCAATGTTTTTAATTCTTCTCTCAATAAATTAACAAGATTCAACAATCATGAAAATTGCTACACTAGAATGTGTAGCAAAAATTTTAAAAAAATTAAATATTAAAAACTGAATGTACATTCAGTTTTTAATATTTAATTTTTGTCAAAAACTAAACAATAGATTAAAAAAGTTATTGATTTCATTCAAATTTAATGAATTTATTTATTGAAATAGAATATTGTATGAAAAAATAAACTGTGTTCGATTTTAATTAAAAAATTAACTGCTGTTTTTTATAAAGTCAAATATTCTTATGTTTTATGTTATAGTTATCAGAACCTAACTGCCAACGAAGTTTGAGTTTCTATGTTTTATGGTAAAATATAGAAACTCAAACTTTCGTAATTCCAAGGGCTGAATTATATATAATTACTTAAAAATACAATTAATTTTTTTTTTTTAATTTTCAAATTTGCCTGTAATAAATTAGCTCCATGAACATTTTAAAAATTAGCCAGCAATAAATAAGGAAGTGAAACTTTGTTACTCTTCTTTTCTTTTTTTTTTTTAACTATTACAGTATTTTGCATTAAAATTGGTAACTTTAAGAGTTCCTTCAAAATTATATAAGTTTCATGTTTATTCAAATTATAAATTATTTAGTTATTTTAAATTTAACTATAATTTAACTAAACTTATTAAAATAATTAGTTATTTATTATATACTTTATATTTATTTAAATTAAAATTATAATTTCAAATATAAGTTACTTGTTTCAGATTTTGTAATAAATCAAATTTTTTTAGGATGTTGTAACTCGTTATGCTCACCAATCAGGGTTTCACGTAGAAAGAAGGTTTGGATGGGATTGCCATGGCTTACCAGTTGTAAGTTTGCTTTTTATTAATATATAAAATTAAATTAAAACTGTAAACTGCATTTTAATGCTGAAATTCTGTGATCTAAGTACTTACATTGGCACACAATGGTGTAGTAATAGTTTTTGTTATTATTATATTGATGATTAAACCTTTTTTAAATCTGTTATAATAAAGCTGACAAAACACTGGTGTTCAAAATTTAAACCTAAATTTGCAATTATTATTTTTTAATTAACAGCTTATATTAAATTATATTTGTGCTTATGTATTTACTTCTTAAAGGGAGCCCAAACTCCCAACACATGTTGTGTTCATATTAAAGTTAGTGTTAAAAAAAAGGTTTGAACCAAGTTTTTTTGATTAAAAATAAATAATGAATGCATACCGAGAAAAACTAATGTTGTTGTTTTAGCCAAAGCTCGCCTTCTCCATTTTTTTCAATAACTTGGAGTCTTTAAATTATATGTTGTAATCTACAGACTTTGGCGATTCCTTTAAAGCGCGTTTAATTCATAAAAGTTTTAGTACTTGACGTCACGGTAGACTTTTAACAAATGAAACTCTGGATTTATTTTTATTCAAAAATTTTTTGATTTGTTTAGTTTTTTTTCTTCTGTTTTTAACATTTAAAAAGATATTAAAAACCTCAAATATTTTATGCTGGTTTGTTGCTATAAATTGTTATTGCGCCATATATTTAATGTTTATAAATTATGAATATTTATTATCTCAATCAAGACTCTGAGAAAAAATTGTTTTACATTAATTACTTGTATAAATTTAGTAACAGTATTTTTATTTGGTTAGACAATATTTCGTTTCAATTTGCTTTGCATGAAGTTCGTTAAGTCAAACGAAAAAAATTATATAGAATAATCACGTCAAAATATATTTAAAACCAATTATTTTACTGACGGGGGTTCTAAAGTTTTTTATAACAAATGTAGGTAAAAAATAAATAACTATATAAAAAGTTCAACATTAAACATCATTTCTTTATTATATTGCAACTGTAAATATTAAAATATTAACTTAAACTAAATTTATCTATTATTTAGAACGACTAAGCAATAAAAACAAAACGCCTCTAAAATTATGCGATATTGTGTTGTTCATTTGTTGGTAATGTTGTTTACGTTGATTATTTTCATTAATATCAAAATAGTGGCAGATTATTCTGTTAGTTGCTTTGCTCATTGGTGATTTATTTTTAATTTAATTTTATCTCAAAGAATTTTATAATTTTATGTTAAAAAAGAAAGGTTTTTATTTCATCACGCGCTCTTTTTACAAAAGAGAAGTACAAAAGAGAAAGAAAAATTTTGTGTATAATTAAACTTTCAATGAATAAGAGTTGTATAGAATATATATATATTTTGCGCCACTCATTCTTTTTTTAGATGAGAGAAATAAAAGTTTAATAGTAACTTTTCTTTGAATAAATGAGAATTGGAAGAGAAAATTGCTTGAAAATTTTTACTTGTAAATTGTGTTTTTAAAAATTTTTAATTTTTCATGTTAAGAGACAATTGCTAAATACGACACAAATAAGGAAATACCAAATATAATGCGTTTTTTAATGCGCGTTATGTAATTTTGACAATTTAAATTACCATCTATCTTGAATTATTGCCATTAGTTAATGTGTTAATTATTGCATTATTTAATAAAAATTTGTCCGTATTTTTGTTAAATACTAGTTGTATAAAATGGGCAAAAATATACGAACTTAATGTTTTTAATTTGATGGTTATAAAATATTGAACAGTAAACTTATAATCAAAATTTATAACGCCAACTTGTGTTGCTATTAATTGTACTTTTAATGCAAAATCAGAATCTCAAAGTGGTAGATTAAGACTTCTTGGGGCCTGGGGCAATTTTTGTTTTTGGAGGCTTTTTTATGGGCCAGAGCCTAAAAATGACTTTTAAAAAAAAAAAGGTGCTATAAAATTTTTGGGGGCCCCTAAATTAGCGGGGCCCGGGGCTGTTCTCCCCGGGATAATTATAGGATAAGTCAACATGTCCCCAAATTATAAAGATGAACTGAAAAAAGTTTCAAATTTAGTATTGAAACAATTAGATAAATTGTTTTGATATTTGATGGATGGTGTACACTGGATTTTTAGATTTTAGAGCTTTGACACTTACAGGTATTGTGCAAACTCCAACCTTTTATTTTCATGCTTATGTTGAATGAGATTGTTTGGCAAAGAATTGAGGTGATTAGAACTTGGGAACAAAAAACCCAGAATATTTGGATCCACCCAGCCCTTAACATGGGAGGAACAAGTTTATAAAATATTTTCTTTACTCTTTACATCTAAATTCATTTACAAATTTCAAATTTCATGCAATAATCTCTTAGTGTTCAGTTTTTATGACCCTGCAAAGTTTACAGCCCCTTAAATTGTGGGGGTTTTAAACTTTTTATGGTCATTATTATCGAAAAACAAAAGATTATTGTATAGAATTTAAAATTTAATGATGAATATAAATTTAGATAAACTCAATTGCTTGGTGGGCCTAAAAATTAGGGTTTCTTTATTCCCAAGCTTCAATCACCACAATTCTTGCAAAACATTCTCATTTGACATAAGTATGAACATAAAAAAATTAGGAGTTTACACACAATGCCTGTAAGTGTAAATGTTAAATATATTATATATGTGGTGTGGAAACGCAATGTTTTGTGGCTCGAATGAGAAAGCACAGAAGTGTTTAAAAGTATAATATTTTGAAAGATGTTCATGATAATGAGAACATACACTTTTTTCAAGACAATTGTTTTGCTTATAATTTAAACTTGTTATACAATATCTACCAAGCAACTGAGAAGCACATGTCAATAGACAATTTTATATAGAGGCAGCAGATCCTTGTTTTCTAATGTAAAGAATCCAAGTGTTTTGTGATGATACAGTGATAACTAAATACTTAAGCTCATTTAAACCATGGTGCTAAGAAAAAAGGTAAGCAAAGACCTTAGCTAATGTTTTGGTTATAATTTTTAAATTTAAATGTAGGAGTAGAGATTTAATGACAATTAAACAGAGATTTAAATAGATTTTGTCGCTTTAAGGAATATAGAATTTCTTCACCTTTTGTTGAATTTCAAAGCAGAAGCTGCAACAATTCAAAAGTTAATCTTCCAACACAATGTTCAAACTATAAAACACTGCTATTAATGGAAATATCATAATAGTAATCTGAACCAAGAGTTACTAGAAGTTGTTAATCAGTTACTGTTGTTGCTTCATTTGCAGGAGTTTAATAAATATTTTTATCATTTCTTTTGTACATTCAAACATTAGAAAATACAGGAAATACTGTCAACTTGGTTTTCTTATTCAAATTGTTCAATCAGAAAGCATTTGCATTAATGAATTTGTTGGGTTGAGTCTTACACAATTTATAAATAAATCAACACAAAAAAATATTTTTAAATGTTTGAAATTGATTTAAATGAAATGCGTTTTAACTAAGTTCATATTTCAAAAATGTAAAGAAATATAAATCAAGATGAACTCTATGTGTTTATGTGAACAAAGCCAAGTGAATAAAAGTTTTTTTTAAGGCATAAAGGAGCAATTTTTATGAAATAAAATTAGCTGGATACAGAATCACATAAAAATGGATTTTATTATAAATTATGAACATTAGATAATAGCTTATTTACAGCAATAACCATGGTAGTATATATGTTGACTAGACATTATAACTTTAGACAATTCAAAATTTAACTAATTTTTGAGTTTTGTGAGCTCTATATACATTAAAGTTATTTAGTATATTATTAAACTGTGATTTTACTATTTAGGAATTCGAAATCGATCAGAAACTTGGAATAAAGGTTTGATTTTCATATTATTTGTTTTGTTATTATTATTGTTATTATTATTATAATTGTTATTATTATTATTGTTATTATAAAAATAATATAATAAATAAACTCTATTTGATAACACATAGAAATAAAGACTAAAAATAATAATTTATCTAATATTGGTTTCCTGCTGCATTTTAAACTGCTTGTTACCATTTCTCTTCGTTTTGAAGGATAATGATGACAAGCATTTTGCTCATTTTGCTCATTTTGCTCATGGGTTAATAAACCCTCACTAAAGTAATATTGGTTAAATGATGCATTCTACAATATGCCTATATTCTTGCAGGTGAAACTGATATAATCTTACTTTAAAATTTCTCTATTTTAATTACAATTGAAATGTAGAAATTTCATTGTAAATGTAGAGGATTCAGCATATAATAAAAATGATGAAAACCATAACAGGTTGCATAAACTTGACCTTCTGAGAAATATTTTTTAATATATTGCAAAATCTGTTTATTTTCCTAGAAAGAATGTAAATGAATTGCAAGTACTATTAAATAGCATTTTGAATTGCAATCTATATATTAGGACAAAATGTGCTGGTTTTGGCATCAGACTTTATGATTTATATACTTCACATGGTTCAACAGATGTTCTCATTCATTGTGGGAAATATTTTAAACTCTGATGATCTTAACTCTAATATGCTGCAAACTGACTTCTTGCTGTTATAATAAAAAACTATTTAGGTAAAGGTCGCTTTACACTGACAATTGGTATACTAGTACAACTTTGGCAATACTTTTTTATAACAAGACTCATTAGGTAGAAACAATAAGGTAAAATTGTTATAATTTTCCTAAAGACATGAATAAAAAAAAGTTTTGATAAGAGCCAAGCAATACTTTATGTAAATACATACAATCCAATGGTTGCTTGTAAATATAAAGCTAATAATATATAAGGTGAATGGACACTAGAATTTTATATGCCTTCTTTCCACTTGCCACCAGCTTACTATGAAAAATATTCTAGAGAAAAATTTACAAAAACCAAAGGTGATAACTACAGTATTCACATGGGAAGTCAATTGCATGGATCAATAAATGCAGGGGTTTTATACACTCAGAAAATTCTACAAATAGTATAATATCGACTATAGACTTAACAAATGACATTGAATGCACATAAAGTATTTCAAAAACTTAACTGATTCATACATAAAATTAAAAGTTTTCTATAGTAAAAAGATATCAAAACAATTAAATTTTAAGTAATTAAAAAAAAAGTCATTTTATGTTGTTATAATAATGCCACTATTGAATTTTTTTTTCCTTTATCACAAAAGAATTTTAAAGAACTAATTTAGAACATTGTTAAATTGTTATGTTCAATTGTAGTATAAAAGTTACATAAATCAACCATATGTTGATACTTAACTAAAAGTTACTAAAATTATATAAAGCAACCATCTGTTGATAGCTAAGTAAAAGTATATTTAATCCAATGTTCCATCATTTCAAATGTTTATCAAAATTTGATTTGGTCTTTTTTCTTAAAAGTTAGTTAATAGAAGAACATTTATTCCAGCGCATTAATATTTTTTTATTGTAATAATCCTCTATCGTACTTAGTTCATTCTGCCCAAACTCAGTTTTTTTGTGCAACAGACAATATTCCCACCTTCCCATAAAATGATTTACGGGAGCAATTTACAGCTCTCACAATAAAAATTTTTCTCTCAAAAGTTTAATTATCATTGTAACTAAAATGAAATACACTAAATCAAAAAAATTTAATTCATTGGATAATAAACAGGTACGATTTTTGCAAAGTTAAAAAAAATTTTGCTATTAAAGAATTTTTTTCATGGTGCAAAAAATGACCCTTGTTTTGTGTATATTATTGTAATATTAACGTTACAAACAATTCTAGTAACAAGTATAAAACCAAATTTTGTATTTAATTAGCAATTTTTATATAAATAAACAGATAGCTTGTACAAAAACCAAAAGCTCCCGTAAAAATCATTTTAGAGGAGTAGTTTGCATAGCTCACCATGTTGGTTATAGGTGAGCTTTTTTGCGCTCTCGCTCTTATTTACTCCTGCCGAGACCAATATATACAGGGTTTATTCTAGGAAAAAAATTTGGGCAGTGTTCCCCTTTTGTTTCAGCTGACTTTAGCAAAAAATCAGCATTTTTTTGCGAAAAAAAACAATATTTGCTGTAAAAATGTTAAAAAACATTAAAAAAAAAAATGGTCCTCAAATTTTAATTGAGGTGGCGCCCAAATATGGTTGGCGCTGTCGAAAACAGTCTAGAATAGCCCCTGATATATATATATATATATATATATATATATATATATATATATATATATATATATATATATATATATATATATATATATATATATATGCGGTAGTAGTGTAGTGGTAAAACACTTGCTTCATAAGCGAGAGGTTCCGAATTTGATCCCCACCATGTCCCTGGTAGTACTGCGCTCAACTTGTTTCTCTGCGCAGCGGCCTTGTTCGTAAGGTTCATGTTTCGGAGTTATCGAGTTGAGAGAGGGTTATAACCACTATTAAGTAGCCTCCTCATCTGTAGTGGCCTTCTCGGCCTTGAGGAAGTAAAGAAAAAAAAAAAAAGAAAAAAAAAAGATATATATACACACACACATACACACACACACATAATTATTGAAAATTGTTTAAAGTACTTTAAACATTTATTAGCTATACTTTAGTAAATCTAATTTTAGTAGTAAAATATAACAATATTTAAATTATGTTTACCGTAATTATCTCTTTTTTAATAATCTTTCATTTAAAAGGTGTCTTGAACTCACTTTAAAAATTATTAACCTTTAGTAAAAATTAAATGAACAGATTTGTTTATATTTAAATCAAAATTTTAAAATTAAAATAATGTTAAATACGTTTATTGAATGCTTATGTTTTTTGATTAAAAAACATATTATACTTTAAAAAATATGTTATATTTTAAAAAACATATTTCAAAAAATTTATAATATTTTTTTAATCATTAAGTATAATTTAAAGTAAAAATTACGTTTAATAAATTACATTTATTATGGGTTATTTTAAATAGATCTTAATTATATTTTAAAACTTAATTTAATTAATATAATATTAATTAGTTATTTACTTTATTAGTTTTAAGTTATTTTTATTATTTTAAAAGTCAAAAAGAATATGGAAAAAGTTTACATTTGGTTTTTTTATTTTCCTCAAATAGCAAACTAAAGATCAAAAGTTCATTCATTCAAAAATTTAATTTGTGCGATAGTTATGAGGGACTGAAATTTTTTACTTTTGTTTATTTATTATCAAAAGCAGTTCATTCTTAATAGCCAAAAAACAAAAGTTATTCTACTCTGAATGGGTATTTTAAAATCATTCTATCTTTCGAAATAGCAAATTAAAACATAGCAAATAAAAAACATTCCATTGTTATAAAATTTTCCTACAAGTTTTTAAAATTAAGTTTTGTAACGACTTTCATTTTTTTTAAACTAACATTCACCTAGTAACCAAAGGACAGTTACGTCACAAAGTTGCGTAAAATAGCAATTTCTTTTTAACTTATTTTATTGACCTGAAGAAAAAATTAGTTACCTAAAATGAATTAATTTTTAGGCGCTTTTTTTTGGGCGCTCATACCGCTCCAGTGGTACTAAAACAGGTCTGAGTTTGTCCCTGATTTATATATATATATATATATATATATATATATATATATATATATATATATATATATATATATATATATATATATATGTATATATATATATATATTTATATATATATATATATATATATATACATATATACATATATATATACATATATATATATCGTAGCTTATATCAAACCTAAATGTATCAAAATCATTCTATTTGTAAATAATGAGTGAGGAGGTCACAACTAGGTCTGTCAAACCTATTTTTTATAATTATATATCATTTATCACCATAATAATATTATTTATCATAATCTTATGAGTTATTTAAAAGTTTTAGTATTGTAAAACTTATAATAAAATCTGTTATCTCTTTTTATTTTCGGTTTAGGGACCTGATGATGTACAGAAAATGGGTATAACTGCATACAATAAAGAGTGCAGGGCGATTGTAATGAGATATGCAAAGGAATGGGAGGTAACCATGATTCAATTGTTGTTAATTTTATTTCATTTTACTCGAGTGTATGAAATCGTTAAATCAAAATTTTCTGAGTGCATTAAAAAAGACTTGAAATTGCTTTAAAAAGTTACAATTCCTTATGTTGTTTTACTAAATTTTGAACTCTTAAAAAACATATATTTATACCAAAGTCAAAATTGAATTTGCTATTTTAAGCTATCTTACAATTGGTCTGGATCTCACAGTTTTTAATATACTAGTGTACTAAAAGTATGATAAAATACTAATTTTACCCTTTTAGTATAGATGAAAATAACACATTTATATCCAAGTCAAAACTAGATCTACAGTTTTTAGGCACCATTTATTGTTAACAAAGTACTTATTTTAAAACATGTTTTGAGTTGATTTAAGTTTGCGTTATTTTTGCTTAGAATGTTGTTTCTCGTCTTGGGAGATGGATCGATTTCGAAAACGATTACAAAACTTTGTATCCATCATTTATGGAATCAGTATGGTAAATAGTTGGTTTAATTTAAATTTTTTTATGTTTTATTTTTAACAGTAATATATTACACTATAACTTTATCTTTTATTTGTTATATATATGTGTATGTATACAGAGCTGTGCCTTAGCTAATTTGGGGGCAGCAAATCTAGGGGGGCTTTTTTTAAAAAAATTTTAAAATATTTTTTTAAATATTTTTTTTAAATATTAAAATTTTTTTTTTTTTAGTTATAAGTTTAGTGGAAAAATTTTAAGATTTTGTGCCTTAATGACAATTTTTTTTTGGGGGGGAGGGGCAACCTTTGACCTTCTAGCCATAGCACTGATGTATATGTACAAGTATATGACCTGGGCCCAGCTGAATATGGTTATACCATATTGTGCTAACAATATGGTTATACCATATTGTTAGCAAGGGTTGTCAGCCACATCTATAATGTGTAATACATTATATAATAAGTATCTATCTATATATTTACTTTTTATTTATATATTAACTTATAAAGTGCTTGTTTATGTGTACGACAATTTGTAACAGTTCATATGTTTATTCATATCTGATTTTTTTTTCATTTAATGAACAAACTTTAATTTTCAGTTCAAATTTATTGGGGGCATAATCCAATATCAAGGAGCAATCATTATAGTTGACAGAACAATTATTGTTGGTATAAAGATGTTTGTAGATATGTGAATTTATGTATTTTATATTCTGTTTAGTCATTTGTGTTTTAAGGTAGCTTATATCTCAATGATATAACAGGAATCACATTTACATTCAAATTTGAAAATTAATCTTTTAAGGAATACATTCGAGAATTCAAATGGTGGATACTAGCACAAAAAACTCTAAAATAATTTTTATGAGTATTTGGTTTTTGAGTTCAGATAGATTAGTTTAATTAGTTTTTTTTTTGTTCAAATAAGAATTGTATATTTTATTTATTAGCCAAAACAAATTTCTTTTGAGAATTTGAAAAGATCAGTCTTACTCGTAAGACTCCTAATTAAACCTAATAATAATTAAGAATATTGTCAACATCTTGATAACTTACAGAGACTTATTTGAGAGTGAAAACAAAGTCTAGTGTTAGGTTTAAACCTTCTATCAATTTAGATTTCATAAAATTTAGCTTGTGTGTGAGATTAATAGTGAAGAAGCTGTGATGTACTCATTTTTTATAAAAATGACGCCTAAATATTTTGGCAAGTAGTTATTTGGGAGCCCTTTGCTACACTATCTATTTTAGTAGAAGGTTCGTACTGAAAACAAAAAAGTGTTTGTGATGTCACCAAGGTGCAGTATTTGTTTAATTTAGTTATTTATTTTTTAAGATTAATGTTAATGCTGAAAATAGAGTTAGCAGCAATACAAATCTTGAATGTTGTATAAGCTAACTTCCCTTAGAAACAATGTAAGCCACTAAAGCAAGAAGTTTTAAATTTTCTTGTAAATTAAGGAAATTTAACAGAATTTGTTTTTTCAAAAGTTTGTTCATTGGATACAAAAATAACAACAGGAATGTGTGTGTGTGTATATATATATATATATATATATATATATATATATATATATATATATATATATATATATATATATATATATATATATATATATATATATATATATATACATACATACATACATACATACACAGACACACACACATATACCCACACACACATATACCTACACACACACACACACACACAAAAAAAAAAAATATATATATATATATATACACACACATACAGGGGCTATTCTATATCGTTTTTGATAGCATCAACTGTATTTAGGCACCGCCCAAATTAAAATTTGAGGATTTTTTTTTCACGTTTTTATGGCAAATATTGTTTGTTTGTTTTTTTTGCGAAAAAATGCCAATTTTCTGCTAAAGTTTGCCGGAATGAGGGGGTACCGCTGCCGAAATTTTATTCCTAGAATAGGCCCTGACATATATATATATATATATATATATATATATATATATATATATATATATATATATATATATATATATATATATATATATATATATATATATATATATATATATATATATATATATATATATATATATATATATAAACACAATTTATATGTATTTAATTTGCTTTTGGTAAAATATTTTGTTTTTAAAGGTGGGTGTTTAAGCAACTGTTTGAAAAAGGAATGGTATACAGAGGATTTAGAGTTAGTTTTTTTAAGTTAGTTTTTTTGTAGGTTTTTATGTGAAGTATTTTTCTTTTGTTTTTTTGTTTTGCCTTTTTGTTTGTGTTCTATCTTTAGAAACTGTATTCCTTAAATTTAGAGATATCTAAATTAAAAAAAATAAAAGATATCTTTTTCAGATATCTAAGTGTTGTGCAATCCTAATGACTTAATACAAACCCTGGTAAGTCACTCACTGGTTAACAAAACTTTTTTTTAACTTGAAATGTTTCTATGGTCCATTAAAATTGTGTAATTGATTACTAATAAAATTTTGGTTATATCAAACAACTTTTTTTATGTGTAATATATGTGTGCGTGTTTGAACTGTGTGAATATTTGTTTTTTTAATTCAAACTTCACTGCAGCAGTTATAACTAAGCAAAAGTTAAATACAAATAAAATTTAAATTTGTTAAAGTCAACTGTTTCTTTAAACTTTAGGGTACTAAATAACATCTTATCCACTTGATTGAGAAGCATGAATGATCTTTGATGCTGTGAAGAAAGAAAACTACCCAAAATGTTAACATTTGAAAAAAAGGGTCATTTGCAAAGTTAAATTAAACAATTTTGAAAAGGCTTTTGATTGTTTGTAGTTAAATTTCACTGTTTTTAATTCTTAAAATTAAAAAATGATTTTAATAAGGTTAGATTTAGGACACTATTTAAAGAATGGTTCTGTAAAAATGAATTGCTGTTAAATAAAGGCAATAAATTTATTTTATTAGTTGATAATTGTTCAGCCCATCTAACCATTTAGAATCATGGCTCAAATTAAAATAATCTTTCTGGCATCAAACACAGTAGTATTTGATGTTTTTATAATTTGAAGCGTCAGAGCTTCAACCAATTGACTAGGACAATCAGTTGGAGCTCCAACCCAGGACCAGTTAGAAAAGATTGCAGTTCTACCATCCATGGTTAACTACATACATAGATTAATGTATTATTGATGGGTAGTTTTCTATGCCAATAGAGGAAAATGTTAGAGGATGTAGATTGTTTAAGTGAACAAATCGGCTGATGTACATTTGTTTCTGGAGGTACTATGAAGCTACAAGATATTCAGCAACAACGGGGGAGGAAGGTTTTTGTAAATGTATAAACCATATAAACTCAATTGTGGAAATTAATAGAAAAGCTAAAAAAAAGTTTACTGAATCAGGTCCTTTACTGAATCAGATTTTTTTAAAATCGTGTTATTGTGTATATGTTTATATTTTAGCATTGGTTAAAGAAAAATAAGGTCTCGAAGTAATATCTTATATCCTCCAAAGTTTGACCTATTAAAAGTTTTACTTAAGTTAGACATTCGTTGAGTCAAAAATATTTTTGTTCCCTTTAAAAGTTACTAGGATTTAACTTATTTTAAAAAATTTTATAAACTCATTTAAACTTACAATTAGAGATATCTATAGAAACATGCTTTAGTAAATTAAAATTTGTTATGTTTTCAAAGATAAAAATTAGTTTAATATAAAATATATCTTTATATTATCAATAAAGTTTTTATATTGATGGTTATTTACATAATTAATCTAGACTTATATATAATTTTTTAAAGGTTATGCCCTATTCAACAAAATGCAATACTCCACTTTCAAATTTTGAAGCCAACCAAAACTACAAAGATGTTATTGATCCTACTGGTAAATTATTTTAGATTTGAATTTAAAAATTTCATCATATTTATTTACTTATTTGTACTTAGATGATAATTAAATAAATTATAGTTAAAGTTAAATATTAATGAATAATAAAATTAAATATAAATGGTTAATAAGGTTAAGTATAAATGATACAGTTAAATATAAATGATCAAAACAGATAGATTGTATTTTTAATAATTTTAATGAGGTCTTGTGTTAATTTAATTTTATAGTTATTGTGAGTTTTCCACTGGATGAATCTCCGGACGTTAGCATGATTGCCTGGACAACTACTCCTTGGACATTACCTAGCAATTTGGCTCTTGTTGTCAACCCAGATTTTATGTATGTAAAAGTAAAAGGTAGGTATCAATTTAATTTTTAATTTTTATATATTTTGTTGTTGTAGCTCTTATCTTCTCATATGTTGTTCTATTAAAGTTTATTGGTAACCAATAAAATCTTTTTTATTAAACTATGTTTAATTGTTCAACCAAATGAGGTTCAGCAATTAAAAACAACATAATAAAAATGAGAGTCAAAAATATAAGTAATGAAAAAATTGAATGAATTCTTTCAACTTTTCAACTTTTTAAATGAATGAATCTCAAAAAATTGCATTTCTATTGCATTTCTCAATATTCTATTGAGATATATATTCTATTGCATTTCTCAACTTTAACAAAAACAAGAAGTTCTTTGCATGAATCCCATATGATTGATCAGTGTAAACTTACTTACACCTGTGTAAGTAAGTTTACACTGCCAAAATAAAGTCTGCGATTATAAACTTATTAAAATATGAACTTTTTGGTAAAAATAAAAACTTACTCGATTATTATGTAAAAATAAAATAATAACAACAACAAAAATCCAACTGTTTTTCAAAAACAATAACTATTAAGTATAATTGTTTGTATTATGTTATAAGTTAAATTATTAGTGGATTAAAAAGGAAGTGAAATGTACTTGTATTGCATGTATTGCAAAAATGTATTGCAAAAAAAAATTAACATATTCAAGTTTAATGAGTTTATTCGAGAATAAAGAAACAAATCAAATCAAAAACATAAAACAAAACAAAAAAAAAACTTTATTAAAAGTTTAATTACATAAGTACTTTTAAATAAGAAATTTGTCGATCTCCCACTTGTTATTATAGTAATTGTCAAAATTTTCATATTCTGTAAAAAAAATTTTCACTAAGAAGAAAAGTATGAGGTGATAATGTTTTTACTAATGTCTTGTACAGTTCTTTATAGTTATATTAAATTCATTCTATGGAGTGATTCGTAGAATTACTATAACTATGAAGACACAGTTTCAACTAAAACATCCCTAAGCGGTTACATTATCTCCTCCATTTTTTACAGTAGGCAGTTGGTATTTAAAATTATATTGTACCTACTGCAGGCCTTGTTAAAAAGTGTTACGCCATGTGAATTTTATGTACGAAATAGCAATTTCACCAATGCGTTAAGCCATTTACATTATGCCAAAAAAAAATTTAATTAGATTATTTAACAGTCTTTTAAAAAAGTGTATGCGGAAAACAGGCAGTAATTAATTGTTGTAAAAAACATTTTCACTGCAATTGTGAAATTTTTTTTTTTAGGTTAAAAAAAAAGGAGGTTTAATAAATTTTTTTCTACTTTCTATTTTTAAAAAATTTTTGTATTTAAATTAAATTTATTATTAAATATTAATAAATTATTATTTAATTTAAATTTTTTTAAAAGATTAAAAACGTTTTACAGTTTTTTCTTAACATTTAAAATTTCCAAACATAATTAAGAAAATTCCTTTTATCAAATTTAATTTTAGTTATTTTTTTATATCCAATTTAGATTCAACTATTTTGTTAATTTGTAGTTTCATTTTTTTATTATTTTATTTATTATTATTTATGGTTTCAAATCAAAAAAAATTTTTATTTCGCTACAAAAGTAATAATATACTTGCTTCATTCTTTTAAAAGTGATAATATACGTGATAATATAAGTGATAATATATCATAATAAAAGTGATAATATTTGATAAGCTTCATGCTTAAAAGTGATAATATATATGCTTCATGCTTACAACTGTATATAAATGCATTGCTGAATAAACCATAATCAAGACTAAATTTAGGCAAAATTAATTTAGAGAATTTTTTTAGTAAACTTTATGTAACAAGTTTATAAAAAGATGATTTATTTTAGTTTTGAAATTCCTTTTTAACAAAAGTTTTTTTCATTATCATTAAGTTTTTAGATTGATCATAGGATGAATGTTGATTAGAAATGATTAACTTGTTAATGAGTAGTAGGCAAAGATTTTGTTATAGCCAAAATGTTAAAAAAAATTTTTTTGATAGTTTTTATTTATTTTTTGACAATTAAGAAATTTACTCTTAAACAATTGCCCCCTTATTAAAAAAAACAAAACAAGACGATAATGTTGTGTTATAAATGTTTTAAGAAATAGTATAAGTTTAAATAAGTAAAAAAGTTTTAAAATAAGGAATTTTTTTTTTCAAACATTTAAATTTTATTGATTTTTTTTATAACAATATTATTTAATTTAAAAATATTTTATAAAGATTTATTAAGACTTGATTTTTAACGTGGTTTCAAATTAAATTTACTTACAATGTGGTACTTTAAAATACGCAACTGACGTAATTCAACTTTTAACAATGTAAGTATGGGTATTGATTAAAGTTACATTTACTTTCATTACGTTTTTCTGTTATACAAAATCTCATAACAAGGCCTGTACTGGATGTTGAACATACCTGATTCCATCTGATCCAAACAACAAACTTTCATTCACTAAACAGAATCTTTGACAATTGTTGACAACTACACTTAAGATGCTCTGATGCTAATTCTTCTCAGGAGTTTCAGTTTTTCAAAGAAATCATTGGTTTTTTAGCTGAACCACTTTTGATTAAATTAACATGATGTAAACAGTATTTTGTTAAATACTTTTATTAATTTGAAATTTTACAGTTCATTCTATAGAAAGGTACATTTAAATCAACAGCTGTCAAATAGGTTTTTATTTAGTATAACAAGCATTTTATACTGGCGATGTGTTGTTTTGCAATCCTTCTGATTGCTTTCGATTCTTTGTAATTCCAGTAAGTTCATATCTCTTTATATTTTGTCCATCAGCACACTTATCAGCTCCATACAGCTGTGCTGTCCTACAAAAAGATTTTCCATTTTAAAATGATCTTACAATACTTTTTCACTGGAGATATGATAAGTTTCTTAGATCCCACTATCTTAATCACATTTTTAAAAAAAGTTTTTTAATTATTTCTCTAAAGTATTTGTTTACAATATCAATATAAATTTTTTTGTGTGAAAAATATGAAAAGCCGAATTTTTTCTGCAAATTTTTGATCTTGTCAAAAGTTGTTGTTTTTTGATAAAATTAATATTCATTCAAAACATTATAATCAACATAAAAAATGTACCATCAAGTGTCAAATATTTGACTCTTGATGCCGCATCACTTGTCTATTTCAAATTTAATTTGTTGGATCATTTTTAACCAAGTTAATTCTCAGCTTATGAAAATCATAGACAGTATCACTAAAGATTCCTCATAAATATAATTTTTCTCTATTCAGTACAAAACAGTGATAGCTTCTTGTGCCCTGGACTGTAGGCATCTCATCTAGTTTTTGGAAATTAAAATAAGTTTCATGGTTCTTACTATCAAAATGCTAAGTTGATATATTACTTTGATTTGATGAAAGTGTCTGCTTGTAATATATGTTGTTAAAACTGCATTTTTAATCTATGTTTTAACTGCTTTTGTAAAGTAAGTTTGAGGACCAAACTGCACTTGTCACTGTCCAATTATAAATTGATCCATTAAATTTAATTTCTACTTGAGAATGTAAAATAAATGAATTTCAAAAGAAAAAATATTTTGTATTAGGGGTTTTTGAAATAAATAAATAAAAATTTTGTTATTGATTCAAAAGTTTGTTGCATTAACATTATTTTACTGTAGATAATTCTAATGAAAAAGTGTACATTATGATGGAAGATAGACTGGAATCATTATTTAAGAATAATACAGAGTACACTATCATTAGCAGGTATTCTATTTGATTTTGATTTTAACCTAACTATAATATTACAATAAACGGTTTCACCATGATAATCAACATTTACTGTTATTTTGAATTACAGTGACACCCCCTAGTCAACATTGACTTGAATTGTGTGTGTGTGTGTTTATATATATATATATATATATATATATATATATATATATATATATATATATATATATATATATATATATATATATATATATATATATATATATATATATATATATATATATAAACAAAAACTTTGGCAAGCGCATAAAAAAGCACTTGCTACTAAAATAAAAGCGTTTTATTTTAAATTGCAACAAAAAACTTTTTTGTTCATTTGTTCAACTTTTATGAAAAATAGCTTTATTTAACCTGTTTTTTTTTAGTTATTATATATAATATTTATTCAAAGCATTTTTTTTTCTATTTTTATTTTAATTTAAATAGCAGGAAAAAAAACGAATTTTTTAAACCGCGCAGGCAAACTTAAAAATGACCATCCTGTCAGCGCTTTTTCAGGCACTGGCATTATATTTCAAACGAAGCAGTGATACATATATATATATACAAACATACATAGATATATACATTTATATATGTGTATGTTTTGAATTTAATTGTTCGTTTAAATTTAACTAAATAGATTTCCAGGAAGAGATTTGAAAGGAAAGACCTACAAGCCTTTATTTCCGTATTTTGAAAAGGTACTGATTAGTTATTAAATATGATAGATTTTATCAGTCTCTGTATTCTGTTTTCTGTATCTTTGTGCATTCAGTTTTTTGTTCTACAAATTCAAATTCAGATCTTGCAAACAATGATGGATTAATTTATTATTTAGTAATATTTATATTCATATTTTTAATATATTTTCTCTCTAAGTTTTTTTTTTTTTTTTTGTTTGTTTGTTTTTTTTTTGTTTTTTTTTTCTTAAATTAGTTTTTTTACATTTATTAGGCTAACTATTTATTAAAATTTTAGAATTCTATTTATTTTTCAGTTTCACCTTGCTCCTTTTTCAATATTAATAGTGTTTACTGATTTTTAAATATTTAATGTTGCATCATGAGTTTCGCATGTTGATTAAAGGTCTACCCTCATGTTGTTTAAATCATAATTGCTGTAATGTTTTGCCTAAGTTAAAATGACAAAATATAGGTTTGAGTAGACATAATTATATTGACTTAAGTTAACATGGATATATAGATTTAAGTTGCAAAACAATAGACTTTAGTTAACATAATTATATAAACTTTTATATGACATAAAAGTTTATATAATTAAAGACATAAAAATTATATGACAACAGTATTTTATACAGGGAAGAATAAGAGATTTGTAGGGGTAGAGTATAAAATCATGAGGGAGAAAATGACAAGCACGATAAAGAGAAGCAACCATCGCAGATGCTATTTTAGCAATGGATTGTATATATGGTTTCCATGAAAGGTCAGTAGTAAACAATAATCCAAGAAGACATAAAGAAGAGGAGGGTTGTCATTCATTAATATAGGAAGGTCCCCAGTACTTGGATAGTTGTTTGCAGTAAATAACTGAGTTTTGTTGGAGTTAAAATTTACAAGCCACTGTTAGCCCCAATCTGTTACAGAAGAGAGATCAGATTCAAGATCGGCTGCCTGTTCTAAACAATCAAAAAGAGAAGACTTTTTGTCAAGAGTATAAAGTTGAGTCATCAGCAAAAAAAGCTACTTTAGATGTAAGGTTGTTGGGAAGATCATTAATGTAGATAAGAAATAAAACAAGACCAAGGATAGAGCCTTGAGATACCCCAGAAGCAACTGGAAATAAAGAAGAGTGTTGGCCTTCGAGGATGACTTTAATAAAGCGGTCATAAAGAAACAATTTGATAATCTCAAAAACTTTCCCAGAAACACCATTTGAAAAAAAACTTATGGAGAAGACCAGTATGCCAAACTTTGTTGAAAGCTTAGATATGTCAAGAGCAATAGCCCTAGCCTCTCCACCTCCTGCTAATGCACAATAAAGTTTTTCATTCACTGCAGTTAGGAAGTCAGCCAGAGAGCAAAAATATCAAAAACCTTGTTGATTGTCTGACTGTAAGTTATTTGAGTCAAGATGGGATGTGAGAAATTTGTTTATCAAAGACTCAAACACCTTGTTAATAACACAAAGAAAACTGATCAGATGATAATTACAGGAGTCAGAATGTTCACCAGAGTTTTTGAAAATTGGAACAACAAATGTCATTTTCTAGCAGGCAGGAAAACAAGACTCAGTCAAGCATTAAATAGTTTAGAGAGAGTAGTAAAAAGAGTTCTAGAGAACAATTTTGTAAGACTATGACAGGAATGTTGTCTGAACCACATATGTAGATTTGTACCACAAGCTGTAGAAGAGTTTAATTGAGATATGACTTTAGCAACAGAAGTGGGAGTGATTTGAATGTCTAACAATGGATTAACTTGTTTAAATGGAGTGGAGAGAAGAGAATGGTCATAAGATTCAAGAGTCTTATCCTTGAGAGAGGTAATAAGATGAGTCCCAGGAATGAGCGATCTAAAAAAAGATACAAGTTGAGAATAATGAAACTTGGCATCTGACAGTAACTTTTTACATTGATTTCTTGCAATAATAAATAGCCGTTTGTTCTCAAGAGAGTTGTAGAGAATGAAACTCAGCATCTGACAGTAACTTTTGAAAAAGATGAAAAAAATGAGACCAGACATAAATCAAGAAATGAAGGTAAATGATTGGGGTTGTCGGGAAAATGAGTCATAATGTTAACTATCTGAGTAAGAGATTGAGAAATGCAGAAGTTATTAGTGCCAGCAGGGTCAGTGGCATTAGAGCCAATCCATTCAGTGTGATGAGCATTTAAGTCACCAATAATAACAATATTAGCAGAGGGGTAAAGAAAGAGGGCATGGTCGATTTGATTAGAAGTTACATCTAAATAAGTGCAGCCTTGGGAAAAAGAAGAACCATAAAGAGAACAATAAAAAGCAAAGAGAAAGATAATATACTGAAGAGGTGCAAAGCAGAAGCACATAAAAGAATGGTCAGAGGATTCGAATTTGATTTTGCGACAAATAGGTGAATTGTTGCGTATTTATACTACCCTTAAGCCAAACATGTGACTAATAGAGTCACATGCTTGGTTTGGGGCTAGTATCAATTTGCGAATTAAAAGATAGTACCCATCAAAACCGAGATCAGAAGAAGGAATAGCATTATTTAAATTAGTCATGCTAAGAGCAAGCAAGTTTGGTGAATTTTGCAAGAGTTAAGGTTCAACTGATGGAAAGTTACTTTGCAGACCACAAATATTAGTAAAAGATATATTAAAACAGTAAGGTGGTGGGGATGGTTTTTTATGTTTAATATTTTGGGTTACTTTTGGCATGATTCAAGTTTAAAGAGAACTTTCATAGATAGTGCATGGCCTCTTAGCTATGCAATTTTCTCAGTGCTGTTAATTAACCCTAAGTCATAATATAGAGCTCCTTATGTGGCCTCGACAGTGCGCAGCAAAAGTATTAACAAGGACACCATCCAAGTGTAACATGACACTGTTAATACTCTGATTTTTTGCAGCTGTTAATTGAATCAGCCACTCTAAGAGCTACCAAAGAGTTTGGGAAACCTTACTACCAGCTGACCTCAGAACCATTAAACTGGGTTTTAGAGCTGTACCCTCATTAGGAGATAACAGGAAGATTTGTATAGCCATTATTTTTTTATTTATTTTTTTTTATTTTACTTCACCTCCTCAAGGCTGAGAAGGCCACTACAGACGAGGAGGCTACTTATTTTATGGCTATAACCCTCTCTCAACTCTATAACTCCGAAACACGAACCTTGACGAACAAGACCGCTGCGCAGAGAAACGAGTTGAGCGCGGAACTACCAGGGACATGGTGGGGATCGAACTCGGAACCACTCGTTTATGAAGCGAGCGCTCTACCACTACACCCCTACCGCATATACTATATTAAGGAGGCACAAGAAAAAACCTATGAGAATCTATGAGGCATACATCATCCTAGGCAGGGAACATATAAACATAGGTTTATATCTGCATCAGCCTAATAGATGAAAAAGGGGTTCAAGGCTAGTTAGCAGAATTATTCTGCTTACCCCTTAAGTCTTTGCCTAGGAGGCCTCCTATGAAGTAGTAGCTTGATGCAGTTAACATCTGCCCAAGATGAATATTTTTATCTAGACACCATGTCTTGCCTTAAATCAACCAAGAGCACCAAGGCCTGGGGGTTTTAGCTGGATGTAGTTAACATAATGCCCAAGATGATTATTCTCGTTGAGACACCATCTCTAACAAAATGTTAATTTAATCCCTTACAATTGTCATTTTTACTTATAAATATTTTTGTTTTAGGGTAAAATTATTTTGTTAAACTGAATTTGTTTTCCATTTAGCTTAAGTCAAGTGATGGAGCTTTTCAAATACTTGTTGATGGTTATGTGACAAATGATAGTGGTACCGGAATCGTACATTCGGCTCCTGCCTTTGGAGAGGTAGGAATTTAAATAAAATTTTTTTTTGTTCAAATGTTTTTAAAAAATATATATATTAAACTCATGAATATTGAACAGGATGATTATCGTGTTTGTTTGGAAAATGGAATTTTAAAGCGCGGGGGTAAACTACCATGTCCAGTTAATGAATCAGGTATTTTTACCGAAGAAGTTGAAGATTTTAAGAATATCTATGTTAAGGTATACTTCCGTATTTCAATTTCCATTGTAAATTTTTGATAAATGTTAAGTATAAGAGACATTTACAATAATTGATCATTCACAGTTTTTAAAAAATAAAGAGCTATAGATATCTGTATGTTAAAATCTTTTTTATTTTTATTTTAACATCAGTTTTATCTCAATTTGTTGCATTTTAAAATAAATAGATAAAATATCAATAAATTAAAAAATCACTTTAATAAAAAAGTCTAGACATCCATATATTTTTGTTTACTAAAAATAGTAGTCAACTATTTTAATAAAAAATTTTTTGTAAGAAGAATAGATCTTATAAAAATTAAATTTAAACAAAGAAAGTTTATGGTAAAATTTATTTACAGGATTTAATAATTAAATTAGATTGCAAAGTTAAGCAATGAATTTTTAACAAAATTTACAGCCTAAAATAAAACTTAATCTAAAATTATATTCTGAAAATATTTTCATTTTAAAATTTGTCAAATTATTATAACTATTTATTTTCATCTCACTGAATGTTGATCTCACTGAATATCTTTGCTCTAGTACCACTGACTTTGCTGGTTCTAAAGCTAGATAGTTAACATTGTGACTCATTTTGTAATCATTTACGTTCACTCTTTAACATGTGTTGTGATGTACCTTGGGCTTATATCTTTCTTTTTTCTGTCTCGTGGATACAAGCAGACATAGAAGCTTTTATTCCATCTCATTAGGTTTCAAGTCGAGCCTCAATATACCCACGCAGTTTTCTCAAGTTTTTCACTAGAACAACTCTTAATCAATGTCTTTATTATTGTAAAAAATCAATCCAAAAAGATATTATTTGATGGTAAGGTTCATTATTCTTACATTTTTAAATCTTTATTTTATTTCTGAAATTAGGTTCTAGTGAATTTTGGAAAATCTGTAACATGATCATTAATAAAGGCAACTCATACATTTCATCTCTCGTACATTAGCATGATCTTATTGCCTAATTAAAAATAATGCAGAACTTTTTGTAGAGAATTTTTCCTCTAGTTTAGCAAAAGCAGTGATACATAAAAGATTCCATTTGTGGCTTAACAAACTCTACGTAAAAATAATTTCAACTGAAAACATCTTTAAAAAAAAAGATCTATAAAAAGTTTGTTTCTGTTAGTATTAAACTTTAGTTGTTTCTTTATAAAGCATTATTTTAGAAAGCTTCCATAATAGTTTTTTAATACCCTAATAATTTGTATTAACTCTTGTTATTTTGTATTCTAATTTGTATAATTAATAGTAATCCAGTTTATTTAAATTAAGTTAATTGATTGTAATTAAATACAATAATAACAAATAAATAGGGAAAATTATGTTGCTCATGTTTATTTAAAGGATGCTGATAAACTAATCGCAAAGAAGTTAAAAGAATTAGGTCGATTGGTCCACCAAGGCAACATGAAACATAGTTATCCATTCTGTTGGAGGTGTCTTTTTTTATTTAAATATTTAAAACTCAAATAGCCTTATTTGGTGTAATAACTTGATCGAAAATATTAATTCTTGAGGAGTTATGCGTTTATTTTGCATTGGTTTTAAGTTTGCTTTGTTGTTAAATTCCTTTTTTTATAGATCAGATACTCCACTTATCTACAAAGCTGTTCCCGGTTGGTTTATTCGTGTTGAGAATATTGTTCCAAATCTATTAAAAAATAATCAAGATTCTTATTGGTTTGTTTTATTTGTTGTATTTGTATTTTCACTTTTTTATGTAAAAGTTTTTATAAAAACGTCTTTTTTAGGTTTCCAGCATTTGTTAATTTGAAACACTTTTAGAATTGGTTTATATTTATATGGTTGTGTTGAAATGTTTTTTTTTTTTAGGGTTCCTGAGTTTATAAAGGAGAAACGCTTTCACAATTGGTTAGAAAATGCAAGAGATTGGAATGTTTCAAGAAATCGATACTGGGGTACCCCTATGCCATTGTGGGCGAGTGAAGATTTTGAAGAGGTATAAAATGTCTTTAAAATTTTTTTTTTAATTAAGGAAAATATAAAGAGATAAAATTCTGCTGGAGTTTTTTTATTGAAATACACAAAATAAAATAACACAAAGTATTTGTATTTGAGCCAAAAAAAGATAGTACAGTAATAAAGCTGTTTTGTATTTAGTTAAAATGTATTTTAATACAATGTTTTAGTGTACAAATAATGCGTTTTTTATAGTTAAAGTAATAACGACTTATAAAAAACGAACAATAAAAATAAAAGTACGATGAATTGATTTTTTAAAAAGCATTTAAACAAAAAAAAAACACATGAATTTTTCAAAAAGCCATGGTCGGGTATATTAATAGATATTTAAAAAAAGCAGAAAGAGTGATCTACAAATACTCATCTCATTAATTGAAATATAAGTAAGCATTTTAATTTCTTTAAATCTTTTAAATTTAAGATAAAAAAAGAAAATATTTTTTTATCTGCAGTTCACCAAGATTTTTTATCCCATAGGATTAAGAAAATTAGACAGCTTTAACTAGATTTTTAAATTTAAAAAAGCAACAGCAACCAGCTCACTCGATACTTTCTAAAAGATAAAGATTGATGTCACCAAATAATATTTAAGATGACTACTCATGTTTATGTTTTCTACAGAAAGTTTTGATTTTACAAAATGCTTTAATAGTTCTTTAAATTTTTTAAAATTTGAAGAATTTTAAAAATGTTTTTTATTGGATTTGTTTTATTATTTAGGTAATTTGTATCGGTTCAGTTGATGAACTTCACAAGCTTTCTGGTATTAAAATATCTGATCTTCATAGAGAAAAGTAAGTTGTTTTAGATATAAATGTTCTGTAATATATTGTAAGTATAAGTTATATAGCTAATTTGTTAGAAATATATGAACTGAGAATATCCTATGCATCTTAAAGCTTTTTTAAATTGCATGATTAAGTTAAACATTGAGAATTTGATTATTTGAAAAAGATTATAGAAAGGCTTTGCTACTTTTGAGGGATAATATTTTGACTATTTATTAGCGCCTTGAAAAAAAACAAAAAAGTAAACTATTTGGAGGTTAAAAAACTCAAAAAGAAGTAAAATTTTAATTTTGTTCTAGAGGGTAGAAGTTGGTTGATAAATTTTTTTTTTTTTTTTTTGAAGCGTTGAATAGAAATCTTATTTTTCAATAAAAATTGAATTACAAATTTGTCACAAGCAGTGAATATGAGGGGAAAATGAAGTACACTAAGATTTAGGGGAATTAGTTTTTGAAAAAAGCAAATTTTATAGTTGTTCAGAAAAAGACTGATAGAATAGCTTAATAATAAACAAATCTTCATTAAATTTGAATGAAAAAAATACAAAGCATGTATTATTTACTGTACCAAAAAATGTTTTAAAAGTTATTCACCTTTTGAAGCCATTTTTTTTTGTACTTTTTGAATTCACTCTAATATCTCTAAATGAATTCACTCTACTGTCTCTAAATTAATTCACAAATTTGTTACTTACCAAAACACCTCAAACTTAACTATAATTCCATTATGTCTATATCTTTCTGAACTTTACTGTATTTTGATTTTGTCTATAATCAAAAAATAGTAAAATTTGAGAAAGTTTTTTTTTTTTTGCAGTCAGGTTAATATAATCTTATTTAAGTATTTTAAAGATTTTTATTGAATTATTTGTAAGAGCAATTTTTGTTGTAAATTTTTTATTCAAATGGAGACCTGTCGCATAGTTTTTTAAATTTTTCATAAATTTAAAATTAAATTTAATATATATATTAGATTTAATTTTAATATATTTTTAAAATTGTTTTAGTGTTGATAACATAACAATACCTTCATCAAAAGGTAATGGTACTTTAAAAAGGGTTCCAGAAGTATTTGACTGTTGGTTTGAAAGTGGCAGGTATTAAAACTTATAAAATGTTTTATAAAATGGTAAAGTTAATATAAATTTTATTACAAAGATTGAGTTATTAGGAGGAGACAATATAATATTGAGTTAATTTTGTGGCGGAAAAAAAAAATATTTTTATTTTATTTTTTTCTAGTATGCCATATGCTCAAGCACATTATCCATTTGAAAACAAAGAGGAATTTGAAAAGTCGTTTCCTGCTGATTTTATAGCTGAAGGAGTTGATCAAACTCGTGGTTGGTATGTATTTATTGGTTGGTTTTAAAATTGTATTAATGTGTATTTGTTTGTAGTGATGGTTTAATGACCTAACAAAATAAAGTAACAACAAAACTATTCTATATATATGTTATTTAGTTTTCCAGTTATTTTTACAGACTTTAGGATGTTTGTTAAAAACAAAACTAATATATATTTATGTTATTTAGCTTATAGATTTTAGAATGTTTTTTGGCTTTTAAGAAAATCAGTAACTCATAAAAGTAGCCACCCCTCATTAAATTAAAATAATTCTTTTGAATATTTTCATCAAAATTTTTAATAAAATGAAGTTGTTAAATTGAAAAAAAAAAAATACACAAAAAAAAATAGATAATGTATGGCTAGATGGTAATATAACAAAAATAGATCTATTAAGTACATAAAAATGTGAAAAATTTTGATATAGAATAGTGAGGTAAAAGATCTGAATGAGAAATTTTAAAAGTACCAGTTTTGCTACTTTTGATATTAGATGATTCTATACAAAATACATTTAAATATTGTTTTAAAAGACCATGTGCTTAAGTTTATTCTTAATTTAAAAAATGGGTAAATTTCTTACAATGTCAATGTAAATTGCTTGCATCGAATAAACAAAAATTTACAAAATCTATGTAAATGTTAAATATTGATAAAAAGATTTTGATTCTTTTCTTTCATATTTTTTTTAAGTGCAAAAATTGAATCAATATTATGGAGTGTGCACAATCTGTGTTCTGCGCTCAATTAGCAATTTCTAGTTTCAGCATAAAAGCTTATAAATTTTTCATTTTTATTTTATTTTATTTATAATTCTATTTTATTTATAATTTTTATTGTCATATTCTTAACACCTAATAAAAAGGTAAAATATTCTTGCAGGATGTTCTGACACAAAATTCATTATAGTACATTTTGTTTTTTGCTTTTGTCCGACCAAATTTAATTGGTTGTCAGTAACAGTACTCTTTAAACCAGTAAAATGCAAACTTTTTTGCAAACCAAAACATTACATTTTAAAAATCTCATTTTAAATACTTAACAATATTTTATACATTGTTAAGCATAAATACATCAACTGGCTCTACAGTTGGTAACAGGCACTACAGTTGGTAACTCCAATCTTGACCACGCATGTAACTGTTTGTTGTTTTTTTGTTTTATTTTCGAAAGCTTGACCTTGGCTTTTTAGATAATTAAAAATGCACTGAAAAATCCAACAAAGGAAAAAAATTATTAACAGACTAAACTATATAAAAAGAAAGAAATTTTAATGAAAGAGAAATTTAAAAAATAAAACCTATAGCTCTAAAAAAAAATCAACTGATATAAATAAAAATTAAAACTCTAATTAAAATTATTTTAAATTTTGTTTTGTAACTGCGTTAAGGTTGTATAACTTGTCTTGTTGGCTTGACGAGTTTTTAACTGATTTTTTTTATATTAGGAGAATAGCAAATAAATCTTTCTTTTTTTCTTTTTTTTTTTAATATCTAAATGAAAATATTTATATGATTATTTTTTTTTTCTTTTTTTTTTTATATATATCAATCAAAAAAAGAATACATAAACAAATAAAAAAATATAAAAATAAATAATTTTAATTAAACATTAAAAAAGATTTGAAGATTTTTTTAAATTCTCATACAAAAATTTTTAGTTAAAACCTTTTCAAACCAACGTTACAAACTATAAAACCTTGATCTTTTCTAATGTTTTTATAATATTATAAAAATATTAGGCGAACTCTTTTAAATAAAAACTTACATCTAATTATTTTTAAAAAACTTTTTTAAATTATCAAAAAGTATTATTTAAAAAAGTTTATTGAAACACATTTGTTGTTGTTGTTTATAAAATTTATAAATAAATTGTACTAAAAAAATTACATTCATCATTAAAAAAAAATACTTTTGAAATAAATAAAAGTTTTATTTAATATTCTATGATCATTAATTTAATAGCTTTTAAAAATTTTATTTAAAAGCATTTAGCTTTGTGTATATTTTATCAGAAAGTTTACATAGCATAACAAAAAAAAAATAACTTTTTTATGTTTTCGACTATTAAATTTATGGATTTATCAAAAACAATCGTTTTCGTTGTTATTTATAATCTATAATTACAATTATAGAAATATTTATAATCTATATTATTTACATCTACATCCATTGTAAAAAATACACTTTTTAACAATATAATATCTTTTGATAATTTAAACGTTTTTTATATTAAACAATCTTTAAAAGTAATTTCTGGCTTTATTACCTTAAACTTTATTTAGCGCATTTTTAAAACGTTCTAAAATGCTGTGGTTAAGTAGTCACAAAAAAATATATATGTGGTTAGGAATAGAATGCGATTGCACACCTTTCCTGTCCACAGCTGATTCTATGAGTAGGCAAAATTTAATGTACCTGCATTGACTGAGGATTTTGTTTGGGGAAGGATCTAGTCATGTTTAAAGTCTATAAAATAATTATTACATCATCAGCTACCAATAAAATCATGGTTTGCAAAAAAAAAATTTTTGTATTTTGAATAGGGTATGTGCGTCTTTTGAATAGAGTAACATGTGTTTTTTGACATGTTTAAGTGACGTTTATTTGTTGTTGTTGTTGTTGTTTTTAAGTTTATTAGTTTAAGTTTGTTTAACAAATGTTTGAGTAACATGTGTCTTTTGTGTAACATGTGTCTTTTGAATAGAGTAAAATTTGATAAATTAAAAATAAATAATAATAATAACAGATTTATAGATAATTGGACAACTAATTATCTTGCTAAATATAGCAAGAAAATTATGGCTGTCATTTATAAAGTAAGTATTTTTTAGGTTTTATACATTGTTAGTTATATCAACTCATTTGTTCAACAAACCGCCATTCAAGAATCTTATTGTAAATGGTCTTGTTTTAGCCGCGTAAGTTTTTTTGTTTACTATATACAACCTTCGGAATAAGTGTTGGCATTCGGCAATGCTGACCTATCTGCCTACCTAAAAGTGTTTGCAATTGGCATAAAATTGCAGGCCTTGTTTCTGGTTTTTGGTAACCTCTTTGTGTCAAATTTTTTTTTGCTGATCTAATGCCGACCTTTAAAAGTTTAGTTCTGCAATTTACTGACCTAATGCCGACTTCATTTTTTCTAATTCCGAGGGTTGTATATATGAGTTTAATATGCTATTAATTTATAGATTTAAATTATATTTGAGTAATCTTTGATTTTACATTGTTTTAATGATGTAAAAATAAGTTTAACATTGCTAAATTTATACCAGCCAGTTTTTTAGAAAAAGGAGAAAAAAATTAAAAGTCATTAACTAAAAACAAATTTTTTTGCTGTAATAAAATCTAAATAGTACCTACCCAAACTCAAACTCTGAGTTGTACAGTACATACATATTTCAGTATTGTACTGAAACCTGTGCAAATTGCTTTTTCAGTATGACATCATCAATAACACTATTTGCGAGACTAAGGGGTCGTCCATAAAGTATGTACGCTTTTTTTTGTCCTATCCCCCTACCTGCATTTTGCAATACGCTTTTTTCAGTACCCTACACCTCCCTTAAAGTACCTACGCTTTTAACTTATTTATCTAACATTTTATGATATTTTTTTTAATTTAATGTCTCCTTTCTTTTATTATTGACCCACTGCCCTCCCATCTCATATATACCATTTGCAGACCCCCTCTTCCCCTCCGAGCTTACATACTTTATAGACAATCCCTAAGCAAAAAAAATTTGTGTGCGTGTTCATACATAAGTATGTATTGTATAACATTTTCTATAATACATTTAAATACATAAATGTTTTTATAATTTTAAAAAAAGAGATGGAGAGAAGATGAGTAAACGAAAGAAAAACTATCCAGATCCTCTATCTGTCATTGATAGATATGGTGCAGATGCATTAAGGTGAGATTTTTGTATGAAATTTTTCAGTTTTTCCTTATTTATATATATATATATATATATATATATATATATATATATATATATATATATATATATATATATATATATATATATATATATATATATATATATATATATGTATATATGTAAAAGATCATTAATAACAAACATTCTTTTATGTAACAGGTGTTCAATTTAAAAAAAAAAGTTTTTTTATTAAAAATTATAATTATCAAGAAAAAAAAATTCAAGTATTTGTAGAAAGTTTTCATTAGTGCAGAAACTGTAAAATTAGTAAATACAACTCTTTTCAATCCTTCTAATGTAAGGCTTTATTACTCTCTGTGTCAAATTGAAACTTTTAAAACTAGTTTTAAGTGTTAAATTGAAACATACAAACAAAAAGTAGTTAAAATACATATTAAATTGGGTTTTCAGAAGGTGCAAAAATAAAGCAAAATTAAAAATTTTGAGTTTATTCCATTTCCAAATTTAATATACTGGAATCTCTATCATCTATTTCAATATTAAATGTAATTATAGACTTGATATTTGATAGAGAAAGTAGCATATAAATAGAAAAAAATATCAATTTCTGCTGTTTTGCACCCATAAGCCAGTTTTTTAGTCAGTTTCTTAAATCAATTAATTTTAGACTTTTTGAAAATTTACTCATGATATTGCTTATTTTTAGAATTAAATGATTTTTGAAAAGATTTTATTAAGAAGATACTTTTTAGTTACTTTTTTTCACCCTTTTCCAAGTGTCTAGAATTTCCCTTGCCAGCAAAACCTTTGGGGGATTTTCTATAAAAAAAAATTTCTGAGATTTTCAATTAATTCAATTTTGAAAAGGATTTGGTCTATTAAGTATAATAAATAAACAACAAATATTGTAAATTTCATTGAAATTAAACTTTTGATTCTTTGACAGCACTTTTTTGTAGGGGTCTTTAGCGTAATTTTTAAAAGGAAAGTAAAGAAGACTTTTTTTTTTTTAATTATAGATAGCAATTTGTTTTACAAAGCATATTTAGGAGGAAATGTTTTATGTTAGGAGGGCAAACCTTTCTAGTATTTTAAAAACCTTTTTATGTTCTGTATAAATCATAACTTCTGTTTATAACCTTTTAAATTTTTTTTATCTTGATATTTGATTCTACATTGACATTTTTAAATTAGTATCTTAGTGTGCCATTTTAGACTGTATCTTATTAACTCCCCAGTTGTTCGAGGTGAAACTCTAAAGTTTCGAGAAGAAGGAGTACGTGACATTATCAAGGATGTGTTTTTACCATGGTTTAATGCCTATAGATTTTTAATGCAGAATATACGAGTTCAGGAAAAAGTATTTGTTTTAAAAATTAATTTTCAATATTTTTATGTTCTACAATCAATTCTTCATTAGATATTATTTTAATTGTTTAGAATTATCTTTGTGATTTTGTATAATGATATTGGATTTTTTTTTTATTTTTTTTTTATTTTTTTGTAGGATCATGCTTTTAAATTTGTTTTTGATCCATCAAAAGTTGAACGTTCAGACAATATTATGGATCGTTGGATTATATCGTTTACGCAAAGTCTTTTGCTTTTTATTAAGCAAGAAATGGCGGGTAAGTTTTTTTTTTTTCCTTCAGTTTATTGATTGTATTTATTTTTTTTGTGCACACAACTTTGCCATTGTGTGGTAAAACATATTTTAAGACCTTGGTACATTTTTACTAGTTTTTTTTTTTATTATTAAGATTATGAATAGAGGGGATTTTCTCATTTAAAATATGTATTAAACATAATCTATCATTGGTATTTTTCTGTAAAATTTGGTATTTTAAATTAAGAGATTTTTAAAGATGATAAATCACTTTAAAACAATCATCCAAACACTTTTTTTTTTGCAGAATAAACTATTGTTTTAATGTTATTTTTGAACAACATCTTGTTTTCAGTGCTACAAGATAAATTAAGTTCACTGGTACAAAGTTATGTTATGAATTATTTTCAGATTTAAATAACTTTCATTTATTGAGAGCAAAATTGGACTGATTTTAAAGGTCAATTCCACACTCAACAGTTTTTTTCCTACAGTTTACACATTTTTTGAACAAATTAGTTTATCTGAAATGTTTACTCTAGTATTAATGTGTGATTAGGCCATGCTTATATTTACTATATAAACATCATTGCTGTTTAAAAGTCTTTTGCATTATCTTTAAAAACAACCAGAGCAGCACAAATGCTTAATCAAAAAAATTACCTGGAAGTCTAAGTCTTGTAGTATAAGAGTATGTTTCTCTGTGCTGTGTTGCATAAAATATCATTGATGGTATCATACTGAAACCATCTCCTGGATCTTTAGTATGTCTATTGACTGAAGATTTGAGATTAGGCAGGCAGCATCTAGGTATGAACAACATAATAGCAAAAAGGGTTCTTTGTTATTCTTTTTCTTTTTTATCTGGATTAAAGTTGCTGCTGTAATGACTTATTTTGATTTTTTTTTTTTTTTTCTTTTTTTTTTTACTTTTCTCATAATTAAATTTTCAAATGTAATAAATCACAGGTATTTATTTATTGCAAATTTACTGTACGTTAATATTATTAAACTTTATAAGATTTTTTCTTATTAGCTTATCGTCTTTACACTGTTGTTCCTCGTTTAATGAAGTTTATTGATAATTTAACTAATTGGTATGTGCGTTCAAACAGGAAGCGTTTAAAGGTAAAATTTGAATACAAAATTTAAAAGAGAGTTTAAAATTGAATTTCGAAAAAAAAATGTTGAATTTATTCAGGGTGAATCCGGACCTACAGATGGTTTACAAGCACTGCAGACATTGTTTAATGTAGTTTATACAATGGTAGGCGTGATGGCTCCTTATACTCCGTATTTAACAGAACATATGTATTTGAATCTTAAAGGTTTTCTTGTTGAAGATGGTGTTGATCCAAAAACTAAAGAAAGTGTTCATTATCTAATGTTGCCACAACCTAGGTAATTAAAATAAAACTTGTTTGCAAAATTGCTGGCTAATTTTTTTATTTTTTATTTTTGTTTTAATTTTCACCTCCTAAAGTTTGAAGAGGGCAGAGTATATTTGATTATAACTTCTACTTACTCAAAGTTTCTACTATCTTAAGCCTATAAATTTAAAATCTTGACAAATGAGGTTGTGTGGAGAAATAGGTTGAGCTTGATACTTACAGGAAGATGAAGGGATTTGACCTCTGTACTGCTTTCTTTCTATTCAACACTGTTAAACTATTGCTTATTGATCTAAAATTTTCATTTTTGAGTATTATATTTTTATTTAAGTATATTATATTTACAGAATAGTATTATCAAATAAAAATAAAATTTATTTCTTAGAGAAGATTTGATTTTCTTGGATGTTGAACGAGCTGTGTCTCGAATGCAAACGGTTATAGAGTTAGGAAGGGTCACTCGTGATAGAAAAACATTGCCTTTAAAAGTAAGTATTTTAGTTTTATGTTCAGTTTTTCTATTTTTACCATTCAGTTTATGCAGAATTTAAATATTAATTGATATAAATCTTATATATTAGTTTTACCAGAATGTAAGCAGTTAGTTTACTTTGCATAGCAAAAAAAAGTTCCCAATAAAAAAAAACTTTTTGTATCAATGTTTTTTGTAGTGCTTTCTTTATTAATACTTATGTTTGGTTTTTTGTAGTAATACTCCTTCAATATTTATTTTTCAGGTTTTTTTATACTCATTTGTTTTGTAAAACCATTTGTGTTAGTCACACAAATGATGGCTGAATAATTAATGACGCAAACATTGCATTTTTTTGAACTGTGAATTTTGTTTTTCTATTTTTTTAAAAAATATGTATTATTTTGAATTTTATATAAGACTGTTTATTTTGTATTTTTATTTTATAGGGGTAGAGATTATCTTTTTCTGAAATTATTTATAGAATTCCAGATATTTTTCTTAACTTTTAGTTTTTCCTGATATTCACTGCGTTTTCCATACATACAAGTTTAGGTGTAACTCATCACTTATACAAGAATTAAAAAAAGTTTGGAAAAGAAATTGGAAACAAATCAGCTAAAAGCAAAATTAAGAGGAAAATAAGGGAAAATATATTCCGGATTTTTTCCAGATATTTTAGCCAAACAATTTTCTGGATTTTTGAAATATGACCAGGGCTAGTTGCAACAAAATTTAAAAAACTGCATTTATCTCCTATAACTTTGATTTTTTTTTAACTTTTTATCAGGGTTGTGAAATAGATTTTAGTGACATATTAAACCAACATTGATAAATATAATACAAAACTTAGTTCCACAATAGCAGGCCTTGCGATGAATAAGAACTGCGCGACGCATAAGCACGACGTGATTTCTGACGTCATTAAATTCTTTTTATTTGCTTTTCATATTTATCGACATTAACTGCACCAATTTACTTAATTACCGCAAAACTACTTTAAATCGTTTATGTAGAAATGTTATTATTTAAAAATGTTTTGGAATGTTTCGTTTTTTAAAATGTAAAAACATTTGTTTATTTTCTCGACGTTTGTCACGTTTTGTCTATACTAAACGAATAATAAAAAACATTATAACTTAAATTTAAAAAAGATTATAAAATATGCTAATATTTGATTTTTTTTTTCTTAAATATGTAATTTAAAGTTTTTCAAATAATTATTTTTTCTTTTTAAAAAGTCAGCGAGTAATAAACTGGAAATTTTAATATTGTACGATTAAAAACTGTGCAATAGCTAATATTTTTACAAGCAATTTTATATAATATTTATTTATTTTTATTTATTTTCATAAAGCGGTTGATAAGCACAATCACTCGTATTATTAAAAAACTTAAGCGAACGTTTTGAATAGATTTTTAATGTTAACAAGGAATTTTATTTCAAGTAATATAAAATAAAATGTTAGAATAAAAATCTTATAGGTATAAAAGAAATATTTCAGCGAAAAAATTATTCTTAAAAATTATTCGAAAAACTTTTGACGTTTTATTTTTCAGCAGCTGCTCTAGAGTTTCGGTAACTTTTAACATAAAAGCGATCGTTATTATTTAAGTAATTTTTTTGAGTTACTTTTTACAAAAATTTTAATAACTGTACTTTTTTATTGAATCAAGTAGAATACGTTTTAATAATAATCCTTTTTTTTCTTTATTTGCGCTCACCAATTTTTAATATGTTTCCTCGAAATTACTCTTAAATACTTTAAAGTCTAGCAGTTAATAAATATTTTTATATCTTTTTTTTTTAAACCTAACAAACCCCCGTAAAATAATTATTTAAGTTTAAAATCTAAAACTAAAAGAAAGTATTTTTGTTCAATTTTATTGACAACTTTGCTATTGCTGAATAATTTTATTAAAATGTTAGCTTAAAAGATTTATAATTTTTTTTTAATCTGAATTTTTTCTTTTTCTTCTTCTAATAATGAGCATATTTAATTTTTTTTTTCAATTCAAACCTTTATTTCAACTGCGTGCGGTTTTTAAAATACTTTATTAAATGTTAAAATAATCGTAAATTACTTCATTAAAATTCCGCTCAAAAATATCTTTAAATATACTTAAACAAAAAATTTTTTGCTTGACGCAAATAGCCCTAGCTACACGCAAAATCGCTCTTGGACGACGTAAAATTCACATCGCCCGACGCTTTATCGCAAGGCCTGCAATAGTAAAATAAAAATAAAAATGTTGTAACTTACCCCGCACCAGAGCAAGTTGCAACAGTGAACAGGGTAAGTTACAACACAAGTTTAAGTCTCCCAAAAGTCTCCAAGAATTTCAAGTTAATCTGTAATTTTTATTTGGCAATAAAAACTTTATAACTAAATTAAAAAAAAGTATTTTGATTGAGCTGCAATAGTTTTATTATGCAGTAAACTGATAATTATATTCAAAGACTTCAAAGACTGAAGAAATTAAAGAAAATTATTTAAACTAATTTATTATTTTAACTTTTTAGTGTTTTTGAAAAAAAAAAAGTAATTCTCTTAGTCAATAAACAATAAAATTTGTTTAGAAAAATCCAAAAGAAGTTAGGATATTTTAGGATATTTAAGTTTTTAGAATATAAAAACAAAACATTTTAATTAAAAAAAAATAAATAAAATGTAAAAAAATAAAGCAAATGTTAAACAAATTTTCATAAAAACAAACAAAAATCAGACTTAGTTAACAATAAATAAAGAATTTCCTGGCAATGAACTTCATTTAAAAAAGTAAACATATGTTAAAGAAACTAAAGAATTAATTACATTTAAATTCAACAATTAGATATACTAAATTATTATTATTATTATTTTTTTTTTTTTTTTTTTTTGAGGAGTTTTAGCAGATTTTTATTTTCTAGAATTAATTTTTTTGTTTAAAAAACGTCCATTAAAAATAACTAGAAAAGTCCGTAAAATCAATAAAACTTGCAGTTCTTTTATGGTTCAATTTTCCCCATGCAATTTGTTGCATCTTACCCTGAAAGCATCATAATCACTCTAATCAAAATATATTTAATTATTTACATTAAACAAATCTATTTTTTTTTTAACTTTTTGTATTTGACAAAAAGTTAAAAAAAAAATATTTTGTTTAATGTAAATAATTAAACATTGCAAGTATTTTGTACTTACTTATTTTATTATGGTCATATACCTATAAGTTTACAGTTAAACCCAAAAAATACATTGATTATAAAAATTAGAATTTTATATCAAAAAAATAAAATTATCTTTTAAAATAACTTTTGAAAATTTTAATTTATTACTATAAGTTTTTTTACTTAACATGTTATAATAGTAGTTGTATAATGTAAAAAAATGTTGCAACTTACCCCTGTTGCAACTAGCCTCAATCTCCCCTACTCTGAAAAGTAAATTTATTCTAGATAAACTAAAATAATAACAAAATTTTTTTGACTAAAATACATTCAGTAATTAATACTTTTTCTTAGGCAAACAAATAAAATAAAAATAATAAATATTCACATAAAAATATGTTAAATAATTAACTTCTGTTTATATTTATGCAAAAAGAGTATTGTAATTGTAACTTTTGTTCTTTTTGTATAGCTTCAACATATTTTGCATAAAATATCATTTATCAGTGTAAATTACTTATCTTGTAATATTCAATAAGTGACATTTTAAAAATTTATCGGTTGTAATGATGCATAGTGACAAACCCTTCCTTTTTTTCTATAGTTAATAACATGATTAAAGTTAAATGTTTTTCCACATGGGCATTTTAATGGCAACCCACTAATATCCTTATTGCATCTAACACACAATTTATTGTGGGATTTTGCTGTACTTATTACAAAACCTTAATCTTTAAGCAGAAATGCACTCAGCCAGCTAAAGGCATCCTTTTTTCCTGCGTGCTCAACTGATCTCAATTGTGGTTTTTATCATTAAAAAATATTTTCAATTTTAGTTTTCAAATGTTTTTTGTTTATATTTTTCTTCAATGTTTACTTCATTAAGAGGTATGACATCACTTTGAAGAATCATACATGGAATTAAGAGCGCTTAATGAATTTTGATGTGTTAAATTTTATTGGTGTCAAAAGTATTGACTCAATTATGTCCTTTAAAGTTATTAAAAGTATATCAGTTCCTTTTAAAATTTGCAGTTATTGAGTTTATGTTGGCCATGAATGTAAGCTGATGTGTGCTGCATTTTGTTGTGTTTCAGCAAATATTGACAATCACTCTTTATACCATCTAGAAACTTTTTCTTTGATGTATTCCTCTTTAAAATGCTTAATTTCGATTGCAAATTTCAGATGTCTTTGCCTTCAATTGTAAAGTTGATTTAGGTTGTTTTAAATATTACTTTTGCTTTGATAAGTTTAGTAATATTCATAATAATAATCCATGAGTTTAACTTTTTAACAAAGCAGCTATACTTTATCAGTAACTGTGGTATCCCACTTTATTTTTGCTTGCACATAATGTATCATTAGCATACACATTTATCTTATATGTTCTGATAATATTTTTTGAAATATTTTCAATTGGTTCATTAAAAGTGCATAAAAAGAAATTGTTAAGTTGTTGCCTTAAGTAGATCTTTTTGTTGATTGTATATCATTACTGCCAAGTAATATTAGACAAGAATAAAAACAATGTGTTTATACCAATTTTTCAAATCATGTGGCATATGTTCTGGATATTATGAAATAATATGTGTTGGATATACAAGCCTTCCCGGGAAGTGCGTGCGGTCGCACACTTTGTTTGTCCATGCTTAAAGTAATTTTTTAGACAACTTAATCATGTTTTTATATAGTAAGCGTTTTAAGAATTTGGCAAAATAAAGCTCTATGAAACTACAGACAATAAAACAACAATATTTGAAAAAATGAATACGATGCAAAATATCTAAACAAAAAATAAAAATAGAGAATTAAAAAAAGAAAAATTTTGTCCAAAAAAAAATATACCTAAATGTTTTGTTTTCTTTTTTTTTTTGGGTGTTGATTAATACAAGTCAAGAAAGAAACCAGATAATATAACGAAAACAAAAATTTTTTTGATAAAAATATTTATTTGCGACTTTAGTCAGTCAGTATATTAAGGAAATACTATATTATTTGCGCTAGAAATAAGAACAGTTTTAAAATTTGTTTTTTAAATGTTTTTGCTAAACTTTACTGTTTTTATCAATGCACAGGAAAAGCCTGAAAGCTAATTGCTGTTTATTTATAATATATATATATATATATATATATATATATATATATATATATATATATATATATATATATATATATATATATATATATATATATATATATATATATATATATATATATATATATATATATTTAAATATATGTATATTAAATATATTAAAAAATATATATATATTTATATATTAAAAAAACGTATATTATAAAATATATATATTTTTATTTTTTTAACAATTTTTTTATATAAAATAATAAAGTCAATAATACTAATGTTTAAATATAAAATATTTGGTTGTTTTCACTACCCTCATTGAAATAGTCTGCACTTTTTTCACTGGATTCTCCAAATTGTGCATTTGAACCCTACAGTTTATTTCCTGATGAACTTTTGTTCATCAGGAAATCGAAGCTTCAAAATCTCCATTATTATATTACTGAACTATTTCAACAAAATTTTTAGGAGGCTATTTAAACCATTTTTAAGTTTTTAAATGTATTTTTCAAACCGAGCAATCGTTATGTTCATCATCTCTAGTAATTCATCTTAACGTTGAAAACTGGGCAATATAAAGGAAACAATTTCAGGCAGGCATCAAGTATTGTAAATACATTTAAAAAAGAAACCATGATTCTTCGGAGTTATTGGTGGTTTTATTGGAGTCAATATTAATTTCTGTTAAAGTGATAGTAATGAGTATCACTTTGTTTCCTGTGAATTGACATGCTTGTAGTGTTTTTCAAATGTTTACTTAACAAAGTAAACATTTGAAAAAGGAAATGAAGACTTTGATGATTTATTTAGGTTCAAATTTTTGGTTAGTTTATACCACCTGTTATTTTTAAGTTATGCCTACAATTTTTACATTAATGCTCAGTTGCTGTTTTTTTTTTTTTTCAAAAATATTTTTGGGTTGTGTTTTAAAGTATATTTGTTGTATAGTAGTTTTTGTATTAATTTGTTTTGTGTTTTTCTTTTGTTTATATATTATTAATGAAAAAAGGTATTAACAAAAGTAAAAGAATCCACAACTGATGGTAAATTTATAAAATGATAAACAGTTTATGTCATAAACAAACAATATTTCACTAAGTAATATAAAAGATAAAAATTATCTAAATAAACTTATTTTATACAAAAAACTTTTTAACAATGATCGAAAATTAATGATATATTATATAAATTTTTAAATATTCACAAAATGAATATTCATATAAGTTTTTTCATATTGCGATTTTTTTTTAGTATCCACTTCCATCCATTGTAATTCTTCACAGTGATGAACAATACATGAAAGATATTTTATCATTGCAGCATTACATTCGTGAGGTAATGTTTAGTGTTTGAATAAAAACTTTGTAATACTAAGTTACATAGAACTAAATTTAACAACTTCGTTTAACAATAGGAACTGAATGTAAAATTAGTAACTACTTCCAATGATAAAGAATTATATGGACTTCGACTAAAAGCTGATTTAGATTTTCAAGCTCTTGGAAAGCGTCTAAAACAAGACTTTAAGAAAGTTCAAGAAGCCATTAATGGTATATTTTGCATATGTACAATTATGACCAAAAAGATCTGGTCACTCAATATTTATAGGCTAAAAAGATCTGACCACCCAATATTTATAACATAAAATTGTATTTGTACTGTATATTATATGCATTTATATATTTGGCATGGATAAAAATTATTAGAAAGTCTTTTAATTCAAAAAAACAACATGCATAAACGTAAAAGAATTAAAAAGTAACAGTATAAAATTTATCCAATTATATCCAACATTTTTAATGGGATTTAAATTGAACGGATCATCTATATTTCAAGAATAATTATTGCATTTTCTTAAAGCCATGTCTTGACATTTTTTGGCTGATGGCAAGTTGCCCCATTGTGCATGAAAATATTAAATTTTCTAATTTGAAATTTATAACACTAGGAGTTAGTTAAGTAAGACTCGCACTCACACTAGGAGTAAGAAGAACTATTTGAGTAAGAATTTTTAAGCTTAAGCTATTTATGTTCTTCAGAACTGAACAGTGTATCATGTTGTCAGTTTTGAACAGTGAACAGTGTGTCATGTTGTCAGTTTTGAACAGTGAACAGTGTATCATGTTGTTAGTTTTTGGAGTGGTAGTTCTTGATCTTCCACAGGTTTTTCCTGGATTGACATAATCTGATGACATCTTTGAGGCATCTTCAAATGTGCAGCAATCATTTTTTCAGAATTACCCTCTTCAATTAAAAGTAAATTTTTCTTTAGCAGGTAATGTTTCAGTCAAATAATGTTTGAATTACACATGATTTTAATGTATATGTAGAGTTGCAAAAAAACGCGTTTTTTTCCTTTGGCGTTTTTTTGGGTCAAAAAAACATGTTTTTTTGGTTTTTTTTGGCGTTTTTTTGGTTTTTTTGGTGTTGTATTGCTTTTTTTTAACAATTTTTCAGTTTTTTTTTGACATAAATTTTGGAATAGTTTTCCTTTACTCTAGTATCATTTTAGTATTTGGCCATTAAAGGCACAATTAGATGTATAAACACCAATTTAACATAAATTTTTTATAAAAAATATTAATTAGCTTCAAGTAAGTTATATATCTAGGCATACTGTATGAAAATCTTTATTTTTTGTTTTGTTGTACTATCAACTGTGATACTCTCATTATATATAAAAACTATTCTTATTCTATAAAAGTTACCATTTTAATTTTGATAATGTAAATATATTAATGTATAATACCATGCAAATATAATATCAGACTTCGAATGCTCAAAAAAATAAGCAATCTATCAAGATTATTAATTTAATTAAGCATTTGTATAATATGTAGTAATTAAGTCTTACATTGTTTGTTTGTTATATCAAAAAAATAAATATTGCTAGTATGCCCATATTTAAAAAAAACCCTATACTGAACTTAATTTCAAGGAAAATTTAAAAATTTTCTAATTATTATTATTTATGGAGTTTCCCAGACCCCATTCACCTGATGATTTGTAATTTATTTATTTGTAATTAATTTTTAACAGCATTTTTTTTTTCTAATTGCATTATTTATTCATCTACATATTTTTATATAACACTATATCAGAACACTTGCAAGATTCTTTAATATGCTCTGTTTTTTAAGTTCAATTTTTAGACATAATCTTATGGCAAAAGAATGGTTTATCTTTTTCCATTTTATTAATTTGGTTCAGAGGTTTAAATAAATGGGTGACTAAGGCTTTATTTCTTGCCCCCTGTTTGGAGAAAGAAAAAAAATTTACTTAATAATTTAAAGATATCCTTTCTCTTATATATATATATATATATATATATATATATATATATATATTTATACAGATAGATATTATAGTGCTTTAAAAATCACTACTCAGTGTTGTTAATGTGGTGTGGTTATTTTTTGTATTAATCTATTTTTAGATTCTAATTCAGAAAAGATTTATATAAAATTTCTCTTTATTTGAGTAATAAGTTGACTTTTTAATAAAACATTTTAGAGACCATTTAAACAATATTAGGGACCTGTTGAATATAAAATGAGCTTAAGTATGAACTAAATATTGAACAATTAAACTTAAATTAGACTTGAAACTTCAAATTGTTTGAAGTTTCAAGTCTAATTTAAAAATCTGGGATTATTAAATCATTTCTTTCTAACTTCTTTATTATAATTATCGTCAAGGCCTATTTATTTATTTCCAGTAACTTCTGGGGTATCTCAAGGTTCTATTCTTGGTCTTGTTTTGTTTCTTATCTACATTATTGATCTTCCCGACAACCCTACATCTATAGTAACTCTTTTTGCTGATGACTCAAGTTTTTACTCCTGTCTTGACAAAAAGTCTTCTCTTTTGATCACTTAGAACAGGCAGCCAATTTTGTATCTGTTGATACAAAATTGGCTGCCTGTTCTAAGTGATCAAAAAGAGAAGACTTTTAAAATATGCGACCCCTAATCTGTTCACAGATTGAGGCTTAAATTAGCTTATAAATTTTATTTCCAACAAAACTCAGTTATTTAATGCAAACAACTACCACAATACTGTCGACATTCCTATATTAATTAATGGTAACCCTCTTACTGAGTCCTCTTTTTTAAATCTTCTTGGA